TTTGCAGAATGGCCGCTCTACTGCGGCTGGTGTTTTTGCCTGGGTTCCTGTGGTCGGCTTTCGCCTGCTTGGTTTCCTTGGCTTGCTTGGCTTGCTTGGCTGTCTTGTTTGGTTTGGCTCACCTAGTTAGTGATATGGTCTGTTGGCTTGGTTGGACTGTTATGATTTGGTTTGTGCGGATTGTTGGTGTGTCGTTCTCTACTCTGTGCTTGCGTTTGTCTTTGGTGCAAGTTGGTTGCTTTGGTTTGGTTGCTTTGTTTGACTTGGTTTGGTTGGCTGGCTCTGACTTCTTGTCCTTTTGCTGGTCAGCGGTCCACAAGGCAAGCCGTACGGAGTCGTTGATTGTGTCAGTGCTTCGACCACCAAAATGCAGGTTCTTGGTTTTGCTAGTTCATGACCACAAGAAACTACGGGCTGATGGCGATCGGGTGACTTGAATATTTCCGGCCAGGGTTGCTTCAGTTGACCAAACCGAACGGTCAAGAGGCGATCCTTCTTACGCATGGGCGTTTTGGGGTTCCAGGATGAGTTCGGGCGATAATTGAATTGGGGTTGATAGCTATGTTCTGCTGGAAAGGGCAAACTTTGAGTGATTGAATGGTCGGAGTGTGGTCACCCGGCCTTTCTGGGGGGCAACATACGCCGATCTTCTTTGCCAGTCCCAATCACTTCTCTGAGGCAACTTGTCCGGTCTTGTTCCCCAGAGCTCAGATTTGTTTCGAGGTCATTCGGAGGCAGGCGCTTGCCAAAAGACACGGATCTCGTGGCCAGCGTTACACACCTTTTGAATGGGCATTGGCTTCACGTGGCGTGTGCCTGAGGCTGTGGTACCTTTTCCGAGAGGCCGAAGAGGAACAGGAGCCATCTGTGAGGTGCCCAGCCATGCGTGTTGGCCCTGGGCCTCGTTTAGGGGAAGGCGCCATCTTAGACTGATTTGGGGCCGGGATCCCAACTTTCCAAGGGTGGCAGAGGATGCAAACCTTCATTTTTCAGATCTAAGTCTTTGCGCCAGACAAGACTCATACAGGCCACATTCTTGCCTGAACCGGGAGCACTCACCAAAAGGATCCTCCCTGACAGGAGAATGTTTGCAAATAGGAGTTTGCAGGTCAGTTTTGAAGTTCACATGTGATATCATAAATCTGTGGACGTACGAGGGCGTGTGTGTGTGTGTGTGGTGATTTCGTGTGGTTGTGTGTGTGTGTGTGTGTGCTGTGTGCACAGGTACCAGTCTGTGTTTGTGTTTGTCGCGGTGTCATTTTATGTTTGCATGTCTTTGTGTTCACCCCCCAAAAGCAAGCAAATCCTCACTGCGGAATCTGACAAGGGATGCTCCGACAAGGAAGCGCTTATTTTCCAACCTCCCTCAGGTCCGGACACCCGCTTATTTACAGCACTGACACCCAGCAAGAATAGAAATGATTGTTCTTGATGCCTTTTGGTAAAATCAGCATCCAAGGACTTTGTCACACCATAGACTTGACAAGAAGGAAGCCAACACCTGTGCTATGTAAGAATGTAAGGAGAACCCTGTAAGCCTTTTCAAGAGAGAAACACACGGCAATCATCAATGTGCGCTTATACCGGCTATAGTGTTTTTGCTTTTGTTTGTTTGATGCATCAGGTTCACCATCATGAGGCGGGATTCCTTTTTTTGAGGCCTGGAACTTGCTGTTTTGCTTAGACCAATGCCGGGTCTGAATGACTCCTTTGACGCCGTACCTGGGTGGCAACGAGGTGAATGGCTACAAGACCTTCGTCCCCACGGAAGATTGGCAGGAGGCGAGTGGTGCAAAGCTTGCTGGTGCGATAGGTAAGACATGTGGGAATGAACCCAGGGATTCCCTAAAAGGAAACCACTAGTTGTATGGTTTATTGTAAACGCTTCGCGTTGCCCGCCTCGGCCAGTCCGCTTTTGGCTGCCTTTGAGGTATATACCAAACCTTGAAGTCTTATGTTTATTAGAGTGAGTGAGTCGGCACCGAAATGCGTGAGCTGGTTTCCAAGGTAGAGGGTGGGCGCATGTCCGCGTGTTTCCACATGGCTCCAGAAAGAGAGACGCAGAGAGCTGCAGGGGTGGACTTGGCGAATTTTGCCGGTTTTTGGGGCTGTTTTTGGGGTTTGACCAGAGTTAGGGTATTCCGCTGGTCTGGATGGGAAGTTGGTCTCTAGAGGGGGATTTGACCGGTTCCTACTGTTTTTTCAGAGGGGGGTTGATCACTTTTCAGAGGGAGCTTGGGTGACCGGATTTGGGGCGGACTGGATTTAGCGACAGGGGGTTTGGACAAATCGACTTTGGGGTGGGGGATGGGGTTTGGAGTGTCCACAAGAGGTTCTGAATCTCGTCTGACCACTTCCCGCCTCGAGGTGAACACGGGTCATTCCCCTCATTCCCCGCCCATCGCACCAGCAAGAAAAGCGTGTTGCTCGATTGGCAGCTTCATTGCAGCAGCGCATGCAGTCAGGCTGCGGGTTTGGCATCTTGCGGCTTCAGCCTGTCTCTCAATGTCAGCCTCTGGGAGACTTCTCTGAAACATTCCCGGTCCATCTAGGATCCCTGCACTTCTTGTGGCTAAGACATGCAATTCCGAATCAGAAGTCCCTTAAGGTGAGTCGGCTTTTTGTGGTGGAACTACGGTTTAGGTAGCATCCATCTGAAAGTCCCTGCTTACTTGCTTCAGGCTACATTGTGATTGGGTCCTTGTGGTGTCACAAAATGAACAGCTCAAACTGGCGCTTGCTTGTTTGCCCACCATGATTCAAGGTTCCCTTGGCTGCACTTTTCTGGAACCCCACGAAGTCCCAACTCCAATCCAGATTCCGCCGGGCTATGCCTGCCCCCCTGGGCTTGAGCCCGGGCCATAGATCTGACATGTCGACTTTGCTTTGGCGATCGAGTTGCCACGCGAGGGAAACAAGAGGAATTGCCACCAGTTTTGGGGGTCTATTGCAACACACACACACACCCACAATGTTCAGTTTCCCTGGGCGCCCCTCTCAAGGCTGCGAACCCGAAAAGCTGTTAATTCGAAACCTACATTGGAACGCAGTTCTTAATCCTTCCCTTGGGTTTTGAAGAAGGTAATTGTTCTAGTTTTTTTTGAAGGGACTCTATAGGATTGCCCCGCCCTTCCTATTGAACAGCCCAGACCATGTTAGGAGGAGCAACAGAACTTGAAGGACGAAATGCCTTTCTGAAAGTCTTCCGAGGTACTGTATGCGGGTGTTGCCGAAAGCAGGAGGCTTCCAAGATGGTTTTCTGTGGCCCCTATTCACGCACATATCCTATGCTGGGGAGGGGGGGAGTGCTGAGAAACCGTGTAAAGCAGTTTGAAAGTGACATTGATGAACCACAGCCCCAAGAGTCGAGAGGCTTGGGCTGGTTGGATTTAGATGTTGTTCTTTGTATGGGTGCTACATAGCCAATGCTTGTTAGTCTACCCAAGAGGAAACCCAAAGGGGACGGATTCTGGATAGCTTGTAATTTGTCCAGACCCTATTCAGTTCGCAGTGGGTCGACCTGAGTTAAGCTTGATGTCGGCTATTGGCAGAGCGTGCTCCAGTTCGAATTGCAATATCGGATTCAACACATGTTGCTCCCCCAGTTTCTAGACGTTGTAACTTTTAATGTTAACCAAGCGTTTTTATCTTGTTTGATCGCCTTTGTAGGCAACAATGCGCCAGTAGACAAATTCATAGACTCATGAATCGAGGTACACAGGGCATCTTTCTTGGCTAGCAGACGTCCAATGGTGCGCAGACAGGTGGCCCATGACGTATGTTGGTGCCAGAGGCGTGTTGCATCATGCACGGAACATGCAAAGCACAAGTTCTTTGAATCGTCAGCCCAAGGGTGAGGCTAAGAGCCATACTTGGACGCTTATCTCCTGCAATGAGTAACCAATGCTACTGTCTTTGGGCGGGACTTTTTGATAACTGCAGGAGTGAGAGTGCATTGTTGAACTGAGGCCTTCGGTTAGACAAAGACGTTTCTTTGTCTATTCTCCGACAGCCACAAGTTGCTCTCACGACATGTGTTTCCCCCGGACTTTTCGTGTGAGACTTTGTCTTCCCATCCCCATCCAAAATGGACAAGGGAGAGCAGTTGAATGGGAAAATCTGGACTCGCGGAAACGAGACCATAGCCCTCTCGAGGGCTCATGCCCAATGGTGAAGGATTTGAGTGAGTTTGATTTGCATTGCAGCTGAGAATACCCAAATCAACAGGGGGCCGTTTTCTGGAAGGTTTTGCAATCAGACTGGTTGCTCTGAGGTTCCGCATGGACATGTCTGAGGAAAAGAGCTACGCGCGCCTGGCCAAAACAGTGCTCGCTCACCCGCGCTGGCGGCAGCCGGCACGCAGCATGCTGAATGAAGTGGGCAGCTTGTTCACATAGACTGATGCTTTTTGGCTGTTGCTAGTTTTGCTTGAGCATGCATGATATTATATATGACTCATTTGTTTGTTTACTGGTTCACTTTTTGTGTGTGTATTTGCGCTTTGCGAAGCTGCACTACATGGTGGCTACAAGGCAGCGACACTCAACCCAGATGTTCGTTTTTTGGACTCACCGCTCGTCTTCCACAACGTTGGTAGTGTTTGCGGCACTGCTGACGGCTGTTCCCTGCACTCTTTTGTCCAGATGTTATGCTGTGTGCTTTTTGAGGCAGGCAGGATTGATCAGGCTTGAACAGATCACGGGAATCACAAGGCTGAACAATTGTGCCACTACTTCTGTAGCAACTGACCTGGGCCTGAGACAAGCTCGCCTATGATGAGGATCCCTTGCTTGTTGGATCCCTTAATACTGGTATGTGAAAACTGTTTAATTGCGAAAGTGGAAGTTCGCAAGTACTGCGAGCAGTCATTGCTTTGCATCCCGGCTAGGTGCTGGGACGGTTTGCCTTTCATAGAGGGAGCTGTGACCTTATGTTCTACTTGTTTCTGAATTGCCGCCTCTATGACTGACACCGCTGCATTGGCTTCGCCGCTCTCCAGTTTTCTCGGCATGCGGTTATTGCTGGTGGGATTGCTCCTTTTGCCCCTTGCGCGGGCGCAGGCTGGACTGGAACACCGCTATGGGCATGAACAACAAGTATCCCCCAGATGCCCAAGGGCCTTCTTCTCCAAGACTCTTGGGGGGTGGGTTTTACAAATATGGCCTTTCGCTTGGGGCAGCAACCAAGCTTCCAACCATCCGAAACTGCGCATGGGGGTAGCTGAATGAAGTACATGCGAAGAGCCCACAAGGCACCTCCCCTTTGGTCATTGCTTTAGGGTCACCACATCACAGTGTCAACAGCTGGCATTGGAGAGATGGCTGGGTTTCCCCTCATAGCCAAACCAGCTTCGTTTGGACTATTTCCACGGATGACAACTGCAGAGTAAAGGACGGTCCCCCATCACTGACACCATATCAACTCTGCAAAGAAATTCATTCACTGGACGGCTGGGGCGGTCAACCAAAGTGCGACCAGCCATTGCCACAAGGTCAGGCCAGTTTACAAGATACCCTTCCCATTTTGGACTTCCCCCTAGAAATTCAGGGAATTGGATCTCGATCTTGGCCCTCTTGCGCAGAAAGGGCAGAATACAGAACAAGTGCCAGTAAATCCCTTTTGGGCAAAAGGTAGAAAGGTGGGCCCGGGGGGCGTGGTGGGAGGTGACCATATATATATATATGTATGTATGTATGTTAATGCATTGAGTTTGGTAGGCTTGGGTATGCATTGATCACTCCTTGATGTCTTGCCATTTTGGGACTCAAGTGGCCTTGAGCCAAAAGTGGCTTTTTTGAGTCCCACCCACCCACCCTGCGGAGGGACCCGACGTTCGGGTAATCTCTCCGTTTGAAGGCCCACGACTTTTTCGGGCTGGGGTGTGCGCAGGGCGCGCTGATGCCTTTGGCACGGTCAGGAGGGAGATTCCTGGACAGGATGTCCATGAAGGGTCTCTGACCATGATGCCAAAGGCATCCGTCTGTCAGGAGGCGATGCCTGACAGACATCCCAAAGCAAATCCCTGAGGCAGGGTTTGGAACTGCATTGCATCGAGCCGGCGAGAGAAAAGAGACGTGCTCCTTTTTAAGTGACATACACAGGAACGTATATATATATATACATACATACATGTATATATATATATATGCATGTATGTATATATATATATATGTATGTATGTATATATATATATGTGTATGTATATATATATGTGTGTTTCTGGGAATGGAGAAGGCTAAAACCTGGGCGTCACACCTCGACCTGTGAAAAGGTGCATCACCCAAATCGGGTGGCCGAAGGCCACGAGGTGGTAGCCTTTCAACTCGGCCACAAACGAGGAGGCTCGAGTACTAATGTTTCCCAAGAGCCACTGAACAGAAAGCAACGATCCAACAAATAATTTCGGAAGCAAGGCCTATTCCGCAGTTCTTGAGTTTGTAGGCTGCACACACTCACAGGTGGAAACGGTGATTCAGCATTGTTGCATTGTTGTGCATTCCCATTGCCGGCCTCTTATCAAGGGCGTTCCTCTGTTTGCATGGTTGATCAATTTTGTCACCCCATGCACCTCCAGACCTGGTTTGTAAGCCCTGTGGGCCTAACCAATAGAACCAAACAACAACGTTGTGATTTGGAGTTGTTCGTTAAGTTTTTGTAGGTCGGGTTCGTAGGTAGGTTCGGTAAAGAAGTCATTTGGGGGTTGAATGTCTTTCTGGGTCGACAGGGTCGTGATCAAGCAGTAACTCACCATTTTTTCACCAGGGGCATGGTGATGTGGAGTTGTTTTCTTAAGTTTTGGTAGGTCGGGTTTGTAGGTAGGTCTGGCAGTTAATGACTTGGGGGTTGAAGTTTTGGGTGGAGGGAGCTGGGTCGCGATTCGCGTCGTGCGTTTGGGCATGGCTGGTCGGCTCAGTAGACAGTTCGCAGGAGGTAGGCAGTCTGGTAGGTCAAGCGCATCTCAATTAAAACTCCCAACTTGATTGTTGGTCTTGCCCCCCTGCCACACGCCACCGCGCTTGGGGGGCAGGTCGGGCACCAATTGTTTGCAATCAGGCTGGCCTGTCAACCTCGGTCCCGGCGCCTGATCCTTGCCAAGCAAGCTTGACCTCGGTCCCGGCGTTTGATTTTTTGCCAAGCAAGCTGGCCGGTCGACCTCGGTCCCGGCGTTTGCTTTGGCTACAGGCTGGCCGGTCGACCTCGGTCCCGGCGCCTGATTTGTTGTCAAGCAGGCTTACTTTTTCTATTGGTTTGGCGCCCGCTACTGGCTCGAATCTCGCCTTGCCCAAATGCGGGGCAGACGATAGTTTATCGCAGTTAGATGTTTGGGCGGTTTACACTACTTGGGTCCAAGGAGCTAAGAAGCTGCCAGAAGGACCACGAACAACTCAACTGCTCTAGCCACTGGACCTTTGTCCCAAGAGCCAGCGCGTCTGAATTCTTGAGGCGGGTTTTTTGCTGCCCCTACGGGCCTGGATTCATGACAAGACGGCACGCAGGGCTAGGTAGTGTTTGAACAATCCTTATCAAAAGACCTTAACGCGCAAGATAGACTCTTTTTAACTGCGGGGAACCTGGCCCTGGCTTACTCTTCCTTAACTCACAAGTTTGTTTACTTGCACGAGCTCGGGCCTTTTTTGCAATCCACAGCAAGAAGCGTTCCACGCTTCCCAAATCGGCTGTGAGTGCAGATTGCAGGGACGAATCGTTCTTGATCAAACTGGGGCATGAAACCGGGCGGCTCACTTGGGGCAATAGCAGCCCCCAAGTGAGCTGTCGCGTTCCCCAGTTTGATCAAACATTTCGTTCCTGCAACCTGTACTCACAACCGTTGTTGGAAGCCGGCCGGAACGCATTTTGCTGTGACAAGGCCTTGTGCAACAAGGTCGGGAACCGAGCTCGACTTTCCAAACCCAGGGTTGAAATTGAACAAAGTTGGGCTAACGTCAGTTTCTGCGCACCCGTAGCGCCATATGAAGAAACTCGGTTCATTTGTTGAGACCACGTAAATTGGAACAGTTCTGAGGATAGGGGGGGCATGAGTGTGCCGCGTTTGGTGCAAACAGACCCAGTCTCCGATCTCATCACCGAGATGGGTGAGCAGCAAACATGTCAAGACCCACGACTCCTCGTCTTTTTTCTTCGAACTGAGTCCGCTAAGTTCCAACCAATCTCAAACTTCGACCGTTTCTCCAAACTTGGGCTGTTGCGATTGGAGAATCTCCGAACTATGGCCCGTTGTCTCCAAACTCAGTGAGGGCAGTTTGGAGAGACTCCAAACTCAGGCTTGTAATCTCCAAACTCTAGCCAATTTCTCCCAACTCAACCTGAGTTTGGAGAAACTCAGGCTCGAGGTTGAAGATTTCCAAATTCGGGTCCGAGTTGAGATTCTCCAAACCCAGGCCCACTTTCCCCCAACTCAGGCCCATTGGGGCCTGCGTTCACTTTTTAAAGTCAGGCTCCTTTTCTCCAAATTCAGCCTTCTTTTCTCTAACTCAGCCCGTTTTCTCCAAACCGTGGATGACTTTGCAGATTCTCTAAACTGAGGCACGTGATCTCCAAAACTCAGGTCCGAGTTTCGAGAATCTCCAAATCTTGTTTTCTCCAAACTCGGGCCCGAGCTTAAAGAATCTCCAAGCACACCGCCCGAGGTTGGAGATTCTCCAAACTCAGGCCCGTTTTCTCCAAACTTGGGATGAGTTTGGAAATTCCGCAATCTCGGCCAGATTTTCTCCAAACTTAGGCCTGCGTTCGGAGATTCTCCAACTCAGTTTGGAGATTCTCCAAACGCCGGCCCATTTCCTCCAAACTCAGGTGCGCTTGGAGATTCTCCAAGCTCGGGCTGAGTTTGGAGATTCTCCAAACCCCAAATTTCAATGTTTTTCTCCTGCAGAACGCTTATTTTGCTTGAAAATCTCCATCCGAGCGCGTATTTTCTCTACCAAAACACTTGCCGAACGCTTCTTCAAGTGTTTCACAAAATGAGTTTGGAGAAAACGGGCCTGAATTTTGAGAAAAGTTCAGGCCCGTTTTCTCCAAATTCGGGGTGAGTTTGGAGATTCTCCAAACTCAGGCCCGTTTTCTCCAAACTCTGAGTTTGGAGATTCTCCAAACTCGGGCCCGTTTTCTCCAAACTCGGGGTGAGTTTGGAGATTGTCCGAACTCGGGCCCGTTTTCTCCAAACTCGGGGTGAGTTAGGGGATTCTCCAGACATAGGCCCGATTTCTCCAACACCGGGGTGAGTTTGGAGATTCTCCGAACTCGGGCCTGTTTTCTCAAACTCGGTGAGCTTTTTGCCTTCGTACAAAAGAGTTTGGATTAACCAGGACTGACAAGGGGCTACCCTAAACCTACCCTAAGCCAACCTAAAACCACCCTAAACCCAACCTAAACCCACCCTAAACCAACCAAAACCCACCCACCGCAAACAAACCCAAAACCTTTCTAAACCCACCCTAAACAGACCCTAAACTAAAAGTTAAACCCACCCTAAACCAATCGTAAACCAACCCTAAACCAACCTAAGCCAACCCCAAACCCACCCGAAACCCAACCAAAATTAACCCTAAACCAACCTTGAAACCAACCCTACACAACCTTGAGCCAACCCTAAACCCAGCCTAAACCAACCCTAAACCAACCCTAAACCTGCCCTAACCCTACCCTACACTTACCCTAAACCACCGTAAGCTTAAACCACCGTAAACTTAGCCTAAACCATCCCTTAACCCAACCCTAAACCAACCCTAAGCCACCTAAACCCACCCTAAACCCACCTAAACCCACACTGAACCTACCCTAAACCAACCTGAAACAAAACGTAAACTGGCACTAAACCCAGCCTAAGCCCACCCGAAAACTACACTAAACAGACCCTAAACCAAACCTACACCCACCCCAAAAACACTCCTAAACCAACCCTAAACCAACCTAAGCCAACCCTAAACCCGCCCTAAACCTGCCCGAAACCTACCCTAAATAATCCCTAACAACCCTAAACAACTTTCAAGCCCCAAACCAAACCTAAACCCACCCTAAACCAAGCCTTAGCCCAGACTAAACAATCCCCAAACCATCCCTAAACCAACCCTAAAGCAACCCTAACCAAACCTCGTCCAACCCTAAACCCACCCTAAACCAACCCTACTGACCTTCAACCGACCCTAAACCCTAAACCAACCCTAAACCCACCCTAAACCCGCAAACCAACCCTAAACCCACCCTAAACCTACCCGAAGCCAACCTAGAACCACCCTAAACCCAACCCTAAACCATCCCTAAACCAACCTTGAAGCCAACCCTACACAACCTTAAGCCAACCCTAAACCCAGCCTAAACCAACCCTAAACCAACCCTAAACCTGCCCTAACCCTACCCTACACATACCCTAAACCACCGTAAACTTAGCCCAACCCTAAACGATTCCCAAGCCAACCCTAAGCCACCCCTAAACCCACCCTAAACCCGCAAACCAACGCTAAACCCAACCTAAACCTACCCTAAACCAACCTAAATCCACCCTCCAAACCGTCCCGAAAACCAAGCCTGAATCCACCCCAAACCCACCCTAAACAGACCCTAAGCCAAACCTGCACCCACCCTAAACCAATCCTAAGCCAACCCTAAACTCCACCCGAAACCCAACCTACATTAACCCTACACAACCATAAGCCAACCCTACAGGCATTTAACCGATGCTAGATTCGTTGATAGAACTGCGCTTGTATCTGAAAAGTTGTGATTTTCGAACTGGAGCTGCCAAAGTGACCTTCGCGTACTGCGCTTGTATTGGAAAGTGTTTTTTTTCAGCTGGAGCCGTAAAATGCGCGCGCTGTTGCCCGAAAATGATGTAAATTACAGCGTTTTGGCACCCCCAGGCGAGATAATTTGTTTTTGATCCTGTAAATAATTTGTTTTTGATCCGGGTGTCGATAATTTCTTTTTGATCCCGTAAATAAATATTTGTTGATCCTGCACCCGACTGACAAGTCTTCTCCAAACTCAGGCCCATTGTCTGCAAACTGGGGCCTGCGTTTGGAGATTCTCCAAACTCAGGACCGCTTCTCCAAACTCGGCCCGAGCTTGAGATGAGTCTCCAAACTAAGTCAGGGCTGTTTTCTTCAAAGCCGGCTTGAGTTTGGATAATCTTCACGCTCGGGCCCGTGTTTTGCAATCTCGCCTGGCTTTGCGTGCGAAGACGCGTTTCGCAAATGTATTGGTGGCGACTATCCGCTTTTCGATGGAGATTTAATGGGTCAAACAAGGGTATTGTTTGGTCAATATAGACAAGACTAAGTTTGGCAAATCTCGAAACTCAGGCTGAGTAAAGACAAGGGACGCCAACTTTAGGGACCCCCAAATTGATTTCTCAGGCTGAGTTAGGAGAAAGCGAGCTTAAGTTTGGAGAGCGTGGAACATCTCCAAGCTCAGGCTAAGACGTGGAAAAAAGCAAACCTAAAATTGGGGCACATTCCAAACTCATCCATATTTATGGAAACCTGAAGGCGAACTTACACCTGTTCAGGGGCCTGGCTACTTGCGAATCCCGCACTGAATGCATAACTCATTCAAAACGCAGCGAGCATTATCCTCAGAAATCTGCAACTCCCCAAGGAAAAGGGCTGCGCCATCGTGATGTAGTCACTTGCAGTACCCTATTCTGGAACTCGGAGCAAATGGGCAATGCCACAAGCAGCGCTTCCCGAGAAGCTTGCTAAGGTATGTTCGCATGTTTTGACAGAGATTTGGAGTCCTTGTTTGGCGTGTGTTTTGCTGGCACAAGGCTTGATTGGCCCTGATAGCATTGAACCGGCATGCTGCGGCATCGTCCAAGCAGTCTTGGCGTGTGGGGTTACCGGTTGAAAACCTTTGTGTTTTTGGTTGCAAAAACGTAATCTGAGCTGCTTGAGGCACTGGAAGAGTGGTGGTGTGCGCCATTTTTCTGAAACCCTTGGAACTCTTCCGCAAACTATTCCCCGGGACCTCGCGCAAGTTAACGCACAAGTTAGACTCTTTTTAAGCGCGGGGAACCTTGCCCTGGCTTACTCTTCCCCAGATACCGTGACGGAGGCACCAGTCTTGCTGGGCGGCAGCACTTGCACATGCCCTTCAGGCAGATTTGGGGTGATGCCGGGTGACGGTTTCACGGCGAGTCGACCCTAAGAAGATAGCCCGGTGGCATTCTGTATATACTTCTTTCGGGCGATGGTTTTCAATCGCCACACAACATGGAAGTGCACACAAGAGTTTGTGAAGCTACCGCAATGTATACGCACTTATATACATATGTAAATATATACATATATATATATATGCGTGTGTGTTTGTTTTGTAAGTGTCAAAATGCACTCATGCATGTGAGGTTGAAATCTATGTACATGTGTACACAGCAGTGTCCCCTAATCGGGATGCCCGAATGGCAGCTGCCCTCTTTTTTTGTTCAGATGGTTCCTGAATAGCCCGTGTTTTCCACGGAATCGTCATGCCAGTTGCCCGTGTTTTTCAAAAGTGCCAGATCCGCAAGCACGACGGCTGCCAAATGGGCCTGTCTTGTTATCGGATGAAAGCCCGCCCATTTTGGGGGGTCCAACCTGAAATGACACATTACCCTCCGTGAGTTATGTACCGCTTAATTATGGCGTAGGGGTTTGCAAGCCATGGAATTTTCTTAGTGCCGATCGATCCGTTGACTTCAGGAATTCTGGGGCTTCAACTAGCAACAAGCAATTGGGCTGCCCAACAAAAATAACAAAAGAAGATGACCTCCTAGGCGTCCCATGGAAGTTTTTTTCGGCCAAGAGAGCCCGCAGATTCTGCACAGATTCCCACCCCTGCTTGAATGTTCCAGCAATTCCTCCCTTTTCTTTGCAGGGAATGTGGAGACCGTTTTGAAACACATGTCATGTTTTGTGATCGTTTTCCCGTGTGGGAATTGCGTGCACTGTGAGAGTTAATTCTGCTTTTCACAAATGCTGTTCTAAGCTCCTCCTTTTGGTTCCTGCTTAAACTGGAGGAGGACCTGGTGGCATTGACACAAAATGCCCAATGTTGCCCGGTCCGATTTTTTTTTTTCTCAGCCAGGATACACTGACCTCGCCGCCGACACAGACTGTGAGACGGCCGCCCCCAATCTCGGCAGGTTGTGCGCAGATCCAAGTTCGGGGCTGGGGCGATGGCAGTTTCCCGACCCGACTCACTCCCTGGCTTGCTGGACTTGAGCTTTTTCCATTTGGACCGCTTTGGCGGCAGACGAGCAGTTCCGATTCTTATTTGGGCCATGCACTCATGAAGGGCGTCGATACTTGACAAGCTCTTGGTGCTTCGCATGCCTGGTCCCGTTACAGTGTGGGAGCCTGTGGCTAAATGCCGGCAAGCCGGCAAACCCTTTTGGGCTCTTTGAATCATTATCATTCAAATTGAGTGGTTCACCTCAGGGTTCCTGTGCCAGAGTGACAACTTTTGCACATCTTACTGCTTAGTGCTCTCAGGATCGTGGCTTGCCTCTTTTTGCCCGCCGAAACAGACGGCATTTTTGCGAGCCCCAGGTACTCTGGGCACAAGGACACCTGGGACCTTCCTGGGTTTGGCTTCGGCGGGCCGCCAGCCTTTCGGCCAAGTAGAGTTGTTCCGTCAGGAGAAAACACCGCATTTGAGTGTTCAACTTTTCTGGGAATACTAAACCAGAGACAAAGATCAGCTTAGCTTTGGGACTAGGTTGTTTTTGCTCACTCAAACATGTTGTGTTTATTTTGGGGTGGGGTCAGCCGGTTTCCAGCTTATGCGTGGATTCTTCGGTTCTATCCAAACTCCGATTTCCTTTTATTCTGGGCAGGGCATTCCGACATTGCGCTTACTGGCCTGCTTTACGACTCCTGCCATTGCCCCGATTCCACCTACTACCTTTCTAGGCAAGCGTGAATGAACACATGACAGTTTGGTCATATCAAAGAGCTACTTGCCAAGCACATGAGCAGCATCCAGAATCTGTATTGGCTGTTAGCGGCGAACATTCGATACATACCCCGTGACGTACCCCGCTACATACCCTGTTACATACCCATATAAGAAGACCTGCTGGCTCGCTTCACTCCTCGTTACATATCTTCGTTGCATGCCCCGATGCGAACCCAGACGCTCAGTGTCCCATGGGTGCCTGCAGAGCAGACTTTTTACAGAGCATGCCTTCGCTGAAGAGTCAGCTTGCAAACAGCTTGCCATCTAGAAGCAAGAATGGAACAAGTAGCAGGGAGGGGTCGGAAGAAAGACTTGATTGTTCTATACCTCATTACACACCTCGTTACATAGGCGTTACATACCTCGTTACAGACCCAACCCCTGGATGCCATCGCTCGGCTTCTGTTGAATGGCTACACATTTCAAGCTGGTGCTGCGGAGGTGTGCCTTGCGTACTGCACTTGTACTGAAACGTTGCGACTTTCGAGCTGCAGCTGCGGCACTTTATTGTCTTCCAATTGGTTAAGAACATTTTGTATTTCCCCTGTTGGTTTTAAAGGGAATCTATCACTGCTGGAAATACTTCTATTTTCCCAGGGGACTTAAGCAAATGGAGGTTGTTCTGCGCCGCATTGTGCGACTAGTACTTGTCAAGCCATGTTTCCCGTCGCACACCTGCGTACATACCTCCGTAAGAAGCGTTTTGGGGACTTCTCACATGGTCCTTCGGCCCAAACTGGCAAGCCAGCCACTGTGACTAAGAAGACAGGAAGGTTACATCCATAGCCGTAGCCATTTGTTGATGTAGTTGGGTTTGGTGCGGTGCCTGCTTTGATTCTTCAAGGCTGGTGTGGCTCGTGGGCTTTATGTTGCCCAACCTGGTTTGGATAGTGTTCGAAAGAAATCCAGATGCAAGCCGCCTACTTCCCAATTTTGTCTGAAGTAAGGTTAGTGACCTTAAATGGCCCCTCCCTGCCATTTTTGCCATGCACATGGCAACGGCATTGGCACGTGCATCTCAGTCCGGCTGCTGGGGCGATGGGCAGTCATGGGTCTACTGGAATCCTTCCAGCGACCTGTCGGCAAGCAGCGCGCGGCGTTTGCCCTGCGCAGTTCGCCAGGTTTGCACCAGGGAGCGGTTTGCCCTTCATTTGGCCACCAATCATCCCACATATGTCTTTTTTTTGGAGGGTACCTCTTTTTGATGGGTTTAACGGGAAGCCAACAGACGAAAACACCTTTTTTTCTGTGGGGGGTCCCCCAAAAAGACACGCCCAAATGGACAACTGCAAGATTCGCTTGGCTTCGTGTGACGCACTGGAAAGTGTTTTTCAATGCCAGGAAGAGGGGCTGTGGGATTGACAGGTGCTGGCAGATGGCCTTGAAGATCAAAGGATCTCCCTGGGCAGCCTGGGGAAGGCTTCAGTGAGTCCCGGAATTACTAGGAGGGAGGATGGCCGGCGAAGGAATCCGACTTTGAGGCTAGCGGTATCTATCGATCCTTCAATCCCAAGGGGGTGGCTCATCCTATTAGTTGAGATTTCAACATAGTAATTGCAGGTAACCAAGCGAAATTGCCAGTAAATCTAACTCAAGAGAACAAGTTCCTTGTTGGCTTCTGGAAATCATCATAGAATTTGGGACCACACCGTTTTGGAGGAAGTCACCTTTTGGACAGCCCCCCTGTTTCAATGTGAATGTTCAATGTTTAGGAGACTATGAAACCTACTAGCAGGATCCCAATGATTAGAATGAGCTTGTACACTGTTCAACATGATCATAGGAAGATCATTGTGTAAGGAGTTAGCTCCTTTCCATGAATGCAAACGGGGAAATGCCTTGGCATCCAACGACATCCGGGAATGCCAGCTGCTAGGCAGTTCCCCTTGCAGATCGGATTCTGAGTTGGTGTGCACCGATCCAGCCTGGAGCCCAGTCATTCCGCTTACTGCTGCGATGTCATGTTTCATGGTTTTGCGTTTGGCACTTTATGGGGCCGAAGACAAGGATACGGCGTTGGCAGTGACGCCAAACAAATATGACTGTCTCATGATCCTTTGCAAACAGCACTTGACTTACCACGGCACTATCATGAGAACACATTTTTCACACTTGCAAATACAGCATGTTTTCTATTGCCTCGTGCTGCGCATAGGCAATGAGCCTGCTTGTCGGTTGAAGTGTCAAAGAAAAGGCAGGAATGCCACACCCGGAAGACATTGAAGTTCTGGGCTAGCTTGTGCTTTTCCCGGGTGATACTGTGGATGGACAAAATCCTGCACCACCCAAGAAACCCTGGAATGATATTCTCTATAAATACCACCAAGCAATGGTTTCTCATGGTTTCAAAGTGGTGCAGGATTTCGTCCATCCACAACATATGGTTTGTGCACATGTTGTGAAGTCTTTCACTTGGACGTAAACCTTGGGCGCCATTTGGCATTTACTTTTGGGTGTGTGTCTGTGCACAATCACATAGGGATAGTTGCGCCACCAGTCAAAGGACTGGCGACTTGTTTGGCATACTCGTGGGCGCTGGGCCCGCCGCCCCTCCTTGCGTGTGCTCAAACGGCCTTGCAGCGCAGTGCAGTGTTTCAGGGGGTAGCTGACGCAGTATCAGTGGGGGTGTTTGGGGATGCGATCTGTAGGGCCTGTTCACTGTCAAGTGGACGGTATGAAGGTGAATTCCAAGCTTATCGATTTAAAGACAGCAAGTGAACACTGGATACCCTGAGACTGTTTTGATGTGTTGCAAACACGCATGGAACGCGGGGATTTGCCTAAGCCATCACGGGAGCAGATTAGGTCCGTGTTCATTTGTCACAGGTTGCAAGTGACACTACTCAAACGCCGAAACACAAGCGATACGCTGCTCCTGTAAACCAAGAGGGGTGCAATGGGCCTTGCAGGAAGCTGAGACAAGACTTGCTTGCTTCGGTTTACTTGGGATGGTCAGAGTCATGATCCTTCAATCTGGGGATAGGCAGCAGGTTAGGCAGCCGCCCCAAGGATTCCTGCTACGGGAACCAAGACCAAATTGACAAGCTTTGATCCATTTCATGGATGCTTATGGCTGCTTCAAACGCTAATCCTGAGTCCGGGACCACCACCGTGACCACGACTGCCACTGTCATCACCACAACTTCCGTAACATCGACACTTACGACGCAGAGCAGCACTTCCGTCGCTTGGATCGGAGTATGGGTTCTCAGGGATTTCCTTTGAACCGTACTTTGGAATCATGGATGGCTTACTAAAACTGTTGGATTTCTTTGTGAGAATGGCACTCACTTCCTGAAAAGGTGGCAAAAGGAGCTTTCTGCTACAAATTGGTTGTGAATGGATAAAGGAGCCTGGGCTCAGCCAACGCTTTGCACCTGCGTGCCGCTTGTAGTTGCAGTGTTTGGTCAGCTCCAACTCAGCCACAGCAAGCAGGGGCCCGAGTCGGATGCAACTGAAGGGGTGGTTTTTCCCCATGTAACCAGCCACAAAATGTTCAGTTGGAGGGCTGGAAATGGGTTCTTGCCACCAGGGACTCCTCCAATTAGGCATTTTTACTGGCTGCCTCAACCGAACCCCAGACGTCAAGACTCGTCCTAGCTCCAGTTTGGCGCTTGGCTTCCGACTCAGTCGCTGTACATGAGTCCTTATCTATCAGCATGGCAAGAAACAACTAGAAACATCTCACGATGCTGACTATTCTAGGGTAACTTCCCCATTCTTTCCAGGGATTCTTCTTTCTAGAAAACAAGCAAAAACCCTCAGGAAATGGCTAGTTGTTGAAAAGAACGATGGCTGAAAAGAATGGTTGGAATCAACCCCTAGAACTGTACTTGGTTGCTCTCTGGAGCGACCTTTAACCTGTTATCCTTTTGCAGGGTCAATGTTTCACCACAAGCTTTTTTTGTAAAGAGTTAGAGTCCACCCCAGTAAAGCGGTGACAGGAAATGTTGGAAACGTTGGTCGTTGTTCAGGTGAGCCTTCAGAATCCATAATGCAGCACCATTTCGCGCGCAAGGCTGCTGAGACAGTCCAATTGTGTTCTCAACAAAAAGCTGCAATCTAGACTACCTGTCAGGAAAGCGCTGACATGATGCAACTCAGGGCAATTATTGCTGTTTGGTGGCCGTCTGGCCAAAGAGCTGCAGCTATTTACGGTGTGTGCTTTTCCCCAGGATCCTGCAATCTGTGTCCTTGGGCAACTCCCAACTGAACAAAATCCAACATGCCAACACTATCCCTGACGCTTTTGAAAGTGCAGATGGCCTCATGGTGAAGGCGACGCTTGGCATGTTACTGCACTGGCTGGTTGCATTTGGCTAGCATGCACTGCGTTTCAGAGCACTGATTCTATGGGATTGTGATGCGCTGGAGGGGAGCTGAGACCATGAAGCTTAGCTGAGCCGTGAGGGGTTCCCAATCTAAGGACACCGTCATTAATGCTGACCATACGTTTTGAGATTTGTTCGAACACCCACCACTCCACCAGTGGCAGATCTCCTGCTATCCGAAGGCAACTGCAACGAGCACGAGCGCCTCAGCCACCACCAGCTTCACCTCCAGCGTGGGGTGGCCCATCTCCGGAAACGCGGATGTGTCTCAAAAGGGGAACTCCTGCAATCGATCGGCGTCCGCTGGGCTGTGCGCCAGCTCGGTTTGCGCCTTTTCGACGCTTTCGCGCTGAAAGGGCGCGTCGCGCTTTGAAGAGTCGAAAGGGACGCCTGTTGATTTGCAGCTTCTCGACGGACGACTTCGGGCCGTCGCAATGGACAGGAGTGGTGTCGGTGCCCGGACCTGGTGAACATTGAGTGGCGCGTGGGGAGTTGTCAGGGGAAGAACACATTGCATCAGCTCACCTTGCCCATCATGAAAGGTTCACATTACAAATGGTTATTCCCGCTGAACCACGCTATGTTATCTGAAACGCTGGCTGTTCATCGCTTCCTTGCAGCAAACGTAACGCTGATCTAGCTACCCCCTGGTCAGAGCAAATGGCGCCCGTCTCCATCTGGTTTTGGAAGCTACGAGGAGCTGGCCATGTTGAAGGTGTCGCCACAAGTTTTGACAGACAGCTGGTGGCAAAGAGAAGCTTCCAACCCCCAACGGTTCCTCAAACACGCTCATGGCGCGTTTCATTTTGACTCATTGACAGTACAGTTTAACCAAACGACGATGAGCTTGTGCAACATGATGTTCCCATTCACACGTGTGTTTTGTGGAACTAATGTAGTGCGACCCCTCAACGAGAACTTCTATACCTTCAGGAGCCCATCATTTCCGAAAAGAGCAGGCCTAAAGTCAAACCCTGTCAGATCCATCGGTGTCACGTGGCTTTCCAATGGGACCTTTCCCTCAGGACGATTGTTGCACTTGTTTGGAGTCTTAGTATTTGTATGAATGCTTACAGTTTATGAGGTGAGAGCTGATGCAAGTCATGTGAGAGTTGGTGCAAGGCACTGTGAGAGTTGCATGCATGGCAGCGCATTCAAGCTGGGTTCTCGCCCATTTTCTCTGTGTTTGTCAGAATAATGACATGCGTTGGCTGTGTGTAAAGGCTGCCCTTTTTTGGGGGGCAGCCCCTTTTCTTCGGCAACTCCTTATTTGTTGGCCATTGCTTGTTCACTGTCCAATATTTTTAGCATTCATTGTTCCTCTCGCTCCCGTCGTTTGCTTCATGTCTCAGCGTTTTCAGTCTTCAGGTGCGGTTTGTCAACGTTATCAACCGGTTTAAAACGAGCGACTGCCTACAAGCACGTTATATATTGCGTTTGTTCTTCAAAGCAATAACCTCGGTGCAAGAGCTCATTGAGTTGAACACGTGGCCTTGTGGCCTTATGATGCTTAGGGCTTGTTTTGGTTCAACGGCTTGGTGAGAATTGAGAGCAACAGACCTGGATCTGGTGTTGGCCCTGCCAGGGTTGACTCCAGAAGGAGCTTGGATTTTGGGAAGGTTCGTTCTTCGGTTTCGGAGGGGGAGCGGGTTCTCAACATGCATGCTCATCCCAAACATATTCGATCAAATCGGGCCTGTGGCCAGCGTCGAAGTCTGCCCAGAACTGCGCTAGCACAATGGCGTGGCCCATTTGCAAGCAGGTGTTCTCTTGGCATTTGGGCAAACTGCATTCCAAACAAAGGTTGCAATCGAATGATGATTGGGACACGGATCGAGCAAGTCCAAGTACATGATTCATGTGGCAGGCCACAATTGAACATGTACACGTCAGGAGTAGCGGTATCCACTTTCCGAATTGGGAAGTAATGTGTGGTCATACGCGGGGCCGCCCTCACGAGGTCACCAAGCTGAATTGCTCTCCGATTGGCTTCCGCTTCGCATGCCCGCTTGTGAGCTAGTTTCTTGATGTTGAAAAGACAAGCGGCTTTGGCGTGGCGTCATGTTCCAAGACATTCATGACTTGAAGCAATCCGCGCTGCTCAAACAAACATCAGCTAGACATGGCCGGCTTCCTGTTGGTGCCTTGGAAACCGGAATCACTGAATCCAAAAGCGGTACCCCACTGTTGGGCATGGAGAAGGAAAAGGTGCATTGGCAGCCTTCCGTGACCGCTGGGGGCAGCCTTTAGGTCACTTCAACTTGGACGACCTCCACAACCGCCACGATTAGCTCAAGCACCACTATCTCAAGCACCACTATCTCAATCACAAGTAGCTCAAGTACAAGCATTTCAAGCACAGCTAGCTTCACCACAAGCGTCGGGCGGCCCAGCATGTTAGCAGCAATTGCACCGGGGTGAAAGTAGACGGCACTACTGAAGTACAGCAGACGCCGATAGCGTGATGCTGCCCGACTTTCAGGGATGACCCTCTCAATGAATTTGTTTTGCGTGAGGCGACGCGGACCGCTGAACGCCAGAGAGAGAGAGAGAGAGAGAGAGAGAGAGAGAGAGAGAGAGAGAAAAAAAGAGAGAGAGAGAGAGAGAAAGAGAGAGAGAGAGGATGAGAAAGTTTCAATTACGGAGGTTGTGCTATTTACTTTTACTCACTGTTCGCGATTTGCCAGCTGCTCAGAGCTGAGCTTGGTGCTTGCCGGTTTTGCTTGAGCTCTTGGTCGATATTTTGATATCTTCCATTTGGTCGGTTCAGAATATTTGTAGGGAATCTATCACTACTGGAAATATGCATATTTTTCCAGCATATGCTTATTTTTTCCAGGGGACTTAAGCAAATGGAGGATATGGTTACAATTTCAACCCTTTGAGCATGGTTCCAGTTATCTCTAAGGTTCTGCAGGGAAGCCCATCGACATGATACTTGCCCTGGTTTGCTGTTTCACTGAGTTTCTGTAGCGGGTTTTCGCGACGACTCTGAAATGGCTCCTGGTCGAAGTTATTTGCCCCAAGTCTAGGTTTGACAACAGGAGACATATTTTGATCCTGCCGACCTTTCAGTGTTAGTATAGCTTCGTAAAGTTGTGTTTCATTGCCGATGTGCTTTGTCACGCTGTTGAAGCTTTGCAAAGTACTGCGGCTACAAGATGGTAGGAGTTGTGCCTGTGTGGGTCAAGACGGTGTTGTGAATGTGTTTTGCTGTGGTGTATTGTTTGTAGAGGTGATGTGTGGCGACAAGAACAGCAAGGGCGCGCAGTCTTGTGCAGAAAGTTCTTCGCAAACCTGGTCCGCTTCTTATTTACATTGTCGTAAGCACTTCTGGCAGCTTGGTTGAAAAAGCGGCCAGCAGAATCAGTTCTGATGTTGACACCCACAAGACACTATGCGGAAGGAAGACCTAAGCTTGCTTTCCTTGTTGACTGCCGCATAAGCCAGAACATGAGTAGCACAAGCTCGCACGTAAGCGAGGTGCAGGGATTTGTGGTGTGTTTTCAGAGCAGCTGATGTCAGGACTGAAGAGTATCGGATACATCATCCGTGGATGTTGGATGTGTTCAGGTCTCCTTTACAACCTCGGTGACAACTACCACTTCCTCAGTGTCTACAACGATTTCCACCTCTGTGACGAGCTCCGTCACGGCGACCACGAGCACCTTGGGCTCCAATTCGCAAGACCATTGAGAGACATTCCCTTGTTCCGTTCCTCTGGCCCCAAAAAACACTGCACCAATCAGAACCGAGTCAAAGTAAAGCTGATGTTTGCTTAGAACTCGCCGGACGGCGGACACGTATAATATTCCCCACTTGGTAGTTTTAGCCTTTACCTGCTGCGACATCTAAGTGCGTCTTCTTTGCGGTCGGTGTTGCTTCTATTGTGGAAGCCCATCAAGTTGCTTGCCAGTCCAAAACTTGATGGCTCCCCGAAGGCAACCAAAGGCATTGAATATTATCCAACTGTGGCCACAGCGCCTTTTTTTGGAACTTGGTAAGGAACCTTTTAAGGTTTGGCCGTGGATGTTTGTTGTATTTGCTTGTCCAGATGTGTTCTCCGAAGCTTGCGAAAGTGCTCCATGGGCGTTCCTAATCTTTTCACCAACTTGCCAGGGTCACAGCAGCCATTCTCGAGCTATGCCGAATCGCAATGGGGGAGGTACAGCTCGAATCGAAGCGTTTCCCCTAAAGGCCAAATCATTTGCGGCAGTCTCGGCAAACAAGTCCACCGTGGCACTGGCCGGGTTGAGGGGCCTTCAAATTGATCGCTCGCCTCCCGCAAAAACGGTTAGAAGCGACAACATATTGCCCCCAGTCTCCTAGGCCTGACATCCTTTGACCTAACTCCATTGGCAAGCTGACCCAGAGGCTTTCTCCGAGCCTTGAAAGATGATCAAACCAGAAGCGTGGAGAATGGGCGGATCCTCTTGTCCATTCCAGGGACCAACTTTCTTTGACCCATTCGCTCAATCCTCACCGCCCGCACGCCGGCCATCATGTGTCCATGTTGGTTAATAGCACCACCTTGTCATGTGTCTGGGGTTTACAATCCACCGAGGCAAAGAAGACTGCGATAAACAATTTGGCCCAAGCCCACCTTTGTTCCGCTCCCTCTCCGTCCTTGATCTCCATCTCGCACTCCACTCATCAAAACGTACACCTGAAAGAAAGATTCCCCGAATGCAGCTGCTGAATGGCCGGAGGGCGGGTTGTTGATCAGGGTTCAAAGTCAATAGTACCTTCTGTGGTCAGCGGCCGAGGCACAAGCACGACTACCACCGCCGGGGGACTTCAGATTCATGATGGCTTGATGCTTATTGGCTCGGGACAGTTTTTACGCATTACTGTAAAAGGCTTGCCTCGCCCCCCGCCCCACCCCTCCCCCAGCTTTGCGCTTTTTGTGCTGGGCTTTTTCAAACGTCATCACCAAAGGGCCAAATGCTGTTTGACATGCTTCCATATCGTGCCAGTTTTGAGGGCTGCAAATGTGCTCTTTGCGTGTTCCCCTTTACACGACGGGAAGCAGGAGGCCCCGGTTGCGACAGAATCGCCCCATGTTGCAAAAGCATATTCGGTCCTTTTGCTGCTGGGGAGCCTGCTGAGTTTACAGTCAAATGCGGTGACTAGGAGTTGGTGGATATTGTTGGATTGTTGAGATGCCTTTGTCTGTTTTACCAAGTAGCTTCTTAGTTGGTACGGCGGTCCTTGTCAATATTATGCAAGCAGTCTGTTTTCATCAAGTACTGCTTGGTGGGGGGGTGTTGCCAAGTCTTTTCATCCATACAGGCTTGTCAGAGATTTCAGCCTCTTGCGTGCCCAAGTGCTGACCCTCGGCACAACGGCAACTAAACTTGACAGCACGAGGCTTGAAAGAGGGGCAGATTCCACAGTCGTCCGCATTCCCCAAGGTCACGGAGACATCTAGCTCCACAACGTCCACAGCTACTATCACAAGCGCGGCGCCTCAGGGAAAATACTGGAGGGGAACATTTGTGCCTTTATGTTTGTCTCGGTGGATGAACATTAGATGTTTTGACGGGACAGCCCGGCAAGGCGTTCTGATTGACTGAACTCGGCTACGGACGGCGGACACGTATAATTTTCCCTTCTTGGTAGTTCTAGGCTTTACCTTCTCTGCGGTGATGCGTCTATTGTGAAAGTCCAACAAGGTGCTTTACCAATACAAAACTTGATTGGTACGCAGGGATCGCTCTATGTTTGTAACTTTGTAAGGAACATTGTGAGCCTTGTCCGTGGCTGAGTGTTGCATTTGCTCTTGTCCAGATGTGTTCTCCTCAGCTCGAAAAAGTGTTCCATCTGCTTTCCTAGTCTTTTCGACAACTTGCCAAGGTCAAAGGAGCCATTGGAATGGGGCGGTACCGCTCAAATCGGAGCGTTTCCCCCAAAGGCCATTTGTGTGTCTGCCAAATCATTTGCGGCTGTTTCGGACATTTGAAAGAAGTGCAGCGTGTTTTGGAGTGCCCGATTTTTCCCCTACCCCGGCACTTGCAGGGTTTAGGGGAAGAAAGCCGCTCCACACAAACAGGTAGACGAGACAAAGTATGGCCAACCCCAGTAACCTGAGCCAACTCCATTGGCAAGCTGACCTTGCACAGGCTTTCTCCGAGCCTTGAAAGATGCTCGAACCAGAAGCGTGGAGGGTGCTCGTGTCCATTTCCAGGCACCAGCTTTCCATTTTTCCCATTCACTCAATCCTGGCTACCCGCCCGCACTTTGTTCCGTCACATTTCCCTCTCCGTCCTTGATCTCCATCTCGCACTCCACTGATCAAAGCTTACACCAGAACCCAAGCATCACAGAGGCTTTGGGGAAAAGAAGCACACCTGCCACAGACAGGCCCAGTAAATCAATGTACTTAGCATATGTTTGAGCTGTGCTGGCCGCATACGTGTTCAGTGCTGGTGTGCTTTGATTAGTGGCAACGCTGAGCTAACTCATCATCAACCAGGGGTTCACCTGAAAGAAAGATTCCCCGAATGCAGCTGATGAATGGCTGGAGGGGGGGTTGTTGATGAGGGTTCAACATCAATAGTACCTTCTGTGGTCAGCGGCCGAGGCACAAGCACGACTACCACCGCCGGGGGACTTGAGATTGGTGATGGATGGCTATTCTGGGAAGGAAGACGCCAGGGTGACGTTTATCGGCTCGCAGGCATTTTCAATTTTCCATGGAAAAGCTTCGCGCATCGAAAGTGGGGAGACTGCTGAGTTACAGCTAAACAGTGCTGGATATTATTGGATTGCCCAGATGCCTTTCCTTGTTTTGCCAAGTATCTGCTTTGCTTGTTAGGGGTGCCTGTCAATCCTATACAAGCACTCGGTGTTTATCAAGTACTGCTTGGTGGGGGGGTGTTGCCAAGTCTTTTCATCCATACAGGCTTGTCAGAGATTTCAGCCTCTTGCGTGCCCAAGTGCTGACCCTCGGCACAACGGCAACTAAACTTGACAGCACGAGGCTTGAAAGAGGGGCAGATTCCACAGTCGTCCGCATTCCCCAAGGTCACGGAGACATCTAGCTCCACAACGTCCACAGCTACTATCACAAGCGCGGCGCCTCAGGGAAAATACTGGAGGGGAAAAGTGACCGCACATTTGTGCTTTTATATCTGTCTTGGTGGATGAACATTAGATGTGCTTTGACGGAGACAGCCCGGCACGGTGTTCTGATTGACTGGACTCGGCTGCGGACGATGGGCACGTATAACTTTCCCTACTTGGTAGTTTTAGCCTTGACCTGCTGCGACATTCAAATGGGTCTTGTCTGCGGTGAGGCTTCTATTGTGGAAGTCCAACAGTCCGTGGAGTGTTGTATTTGCCCTTGTCCAGGTGTGTCTCCGAAGCTTGAGAAAGTGTTCCATGAGCGACTTGCCAGGGTCAAAGGAGCCATTCTGGAGCCATGCCGCATTGGAATGGGGCGGTACAGCTCAAATCGGAGCGTTTCCCCCAAAGGCCATTTGTGTGTCTGCCAAATCATTTGCGGCTGTTTCGGACATTTGAAAGAAGTGCAGCGTGTTTTGGAGTCCCGATTTTTCTCTTACCCCGGCACTTGCAGGGTTTAGGGGAAGAAAGCCGCTCCACACAAACAGGTAGACGAGACAAAGTATGGCCAACCCCAGTCTCCTAGGCCTCAAATCTTTTGACCTGAGCCAACTCCATTGTCAAGCTGACCTCGCACAGGCTTTCTCCGAGCCTTGAAAGATGATCAAACCAGAAGCGTGGAGAATGGGCGGGTCCTCGTGTCCATTTCCAGGTACCAGCTTTCTATTTTTCCTGTTCACTCAATCCTGGCCACCCGCCCGCACTTTGTTCCGTTATCTTCATCTCGCACCCCACTGATCAAAACTTACACCTGAAAGAAAGATTCCCCAAATGCAGCTGATGAAAGGCTGGATGGCGGGCTGGTGATCAGGGTTCAACATCAATGGCTAGTGCCTTCTGTGGTCAGCGGCCGAGGCACAAGCACGACTACCACTGCCGGGGGACTTCAGATTGGTAATGGCACGACGCCAGGGTGATTCTTATTTGCTCGCAAGCATTTTCAATTTTGCATGGCAAGTTTTTGCGCATGAAACGGTTCGCCTCGCTCCCCCGCCCCCAGTTTGGCGCCTCTTGTGTCGGGCTTTTTCGAGAGACATCACCAAAGGGGCTAACTTTTGTTTGACTTGTTTTCATGTCATGCCAGTTTTGAGCGCGGCAAATGTGCTCTTTGCGTGTCCCCTTTACAAGACGGGAAGCAGGAGGCCCCGGTTGCGACAGAATCCCCCCATGTTGCAAAAGCATATTCGGTCCTTTTGCTGCTGGGGAGTTTGCTGAGTTTACAGTCAAACGCGGTGACTAGGAGTTGGTGGATATTGTTGGATTGTTGAGATGCCTTTGTTTGTTTTACCAAGTAGCTTCTTAGTTGTACCGCTTGGTGGGGGTTGATACAAGCTTGTCACAAAGTTCGTTCTCTTGCGTGCCGAACTGCAGACTGGTGATGTGTTTTTTGTTTTTTTCCGCATTCCCCAAGGTCACGGGCACATCTAGCTCCACAGCGTCCACAGCTACCATCACAAGCGCGGTGCCCCAGGGAAAATGCTGGAGGGGAAAGTGACCAGGCATTTCTACTTTAAGACTGCAGCAGAGCTAAGCAGTGCATTCTATGCGGTAAGCATTTGTTCTACTGGGTCGTCGTTCGGGCAGAGTTTTCTTTGGGGCATGTTGCTTGGATGTTAGGACTTTAACTTTTTGCCAACTCATGGGCTTTCCGTACTAAACCACTAAAAGTTAGTCACTTTTAGCAGAGGAGCAGAAAGCAACTGAGATTTTAAAACCCTATGGGCTCTATGGGCTAAGATCAGGATTGCTGAAATCAAGGAGTCCCTTGGATCGACACACGTTGCACACTATGTGGCTGCTGGTCTCGCCAGCTGGTCTCGGCAAATGCCGTGCTTAGCAAAAAAAAGCCTCACATCTGCAGGCAGGGACTAAATCCCTACCAGGCCCTACCTAAGAACAAATGGCGGGGACTCCCCCAATCCCAAGAACGATCTCCTGCGACCGGATATGCTTTCATTTTTAGGGCCCGCAGTTTTGGGAGCGAAGAACTGGGTCGACTCAAAACGGGAAATGCGGCACCTGCTACTTATTTTGCTTGGTCTTGGATTGAGCCTTTAGAACTGGCTGGTTCCTGAATGCGACTGGGGTTGGACCCGGAAGGGCATGTTGCTATATAGTATAGAATTGGTCTAGTAACTAGTATTGAATTGGTTAGTTCTAATTGAGTATTTAGGAGTTCGGGTTGAAGAAAAGCATGGTTTGTTAGTACTAGGGGGCCTTTATTAAGCAGGCTGACGCCTGATGCCGCCGACCCCCAATGTGCTTTTATTGTTGATGTTGTGTTAAATGTTGTTTTAAGAATTCGAGGTACGAGGTAAACATTATGATGATGATGATTATTATTATTATTAATTGGCCAGATTCGCAAAAAGAGAAGAAAGAAGAAGACAGAAGTAACTCTAAGGTGTAATAAAAGATGGACTGGATCTCCTCGAAATCTTGGATCAAAGAAAAGAGTACCCGAATGAAGATCACCCAACATTAAAACAAGTGTCCAGATAAGATAGGCAACGAAAGCATCATCATCAGTGTCATCATCATCCTCATCAGCATCATCCTCACCATGCATTATCACCATCAGCATCATCATTCATCGGCATCATCATCATCATCCATCATCATCATCCATCATCATCATCATCGGCATCATTCATCATCATCATCATCATCATCATCATCATCATCATCATCATCATCATCATCATCATCATCATCATCATCCATCACCATCATCATCATCATCATCATTCTCACCAGCATCATCGTGATGTGATGATCACGGATGATGATGGTGATGATGACGATGATGATGATGATACTCATGCTGATAATGATGATGATGATGATATTGATGATGATGATGATGATAGTCTTATGATGATGATGATGATGGTGATGATGATGATGATGACGATGATGAATGGTGATGATGATGATGATGACAATGATGATGATCATAATGATGATGATGATGATGATGATGATGATGATGATGATGATGATGATGATGATGATGATGTTCATGATGAATGATGAGGACGATGATGATGATGATGATGATGATGCTGATCATGATGATGATGATGATGATGATGATGCTGATGAGGGGGATGATGCTGATCATGATGATGATCATGGATGATGATGGTGATCATCATCGTCATCGTCATCATCCTCAGCATCATCATCATCGTCATCATCATCATCATCCTCATCATCATCGGCATCATCATCATCATCATCATCATCATCATCATCATCATCCTCATCATCCATCATCATCATCGGCATCATTATCACCATCATCATCATCATCATCATCGTCATCATCATCATGCATCAGCATCATCCATCATCATCATCATCATTGTCATCATCGGCACGATCATTATGATCGTCGCCAGCATCATCATCATCATCATCATCAGCTTCATCACCATCATCGTCGTCATCATCATCATCATTCATCATCATCATCATCATCATCGGCATCCCCATCATCATCATCATGATTAGCATCATCATCATCATCATCATCAGCACCATCATCATCATCATCATCATCATCACCATCATCATCATTCATCCATCATCATTCATCCATCATCATCATCATCATCGTCATCGTCATCATGATCATCACCATCATTATCATCATCATCATCATCATCATCATCATCATCATCATTCATCCATCATCATTCATCCATCATCATCATCATCATCATCGTCATCGTCATCATGATCATCACCATCATTATCATCATCATCATCATCATCATCATCATCAATCATCATCATCATCGCCTTCGTCATCATCAGAGTTAGAGGTTAAGGTTAGAGGTTAGGGTTAGAGGTTAGGGTTAGAGGTTAGGGTTAGAGGTTAGGGTTAGAGGTTAGGGTTAGAGGTTAGGGTTAGAGGTTAGGGTTAGAGGTTAGGGTTAGAGGTTAGAGGTTTAGAGGTTAGGGTTAGAGGTTAGGGTTAGAGGTTAGGGTTAGAGGTTAGGGTTAGAGGTTAGGGTTAGAGGTTAGGGTTAGAGGTTAGGGTTAGAGGTTAGGGTTAGAGGTTAGGGTTAGAGGTTAGGGTTAGAGGTTAGGGTTAGAGGTTAGGGTTAGAGGTTAGAGGTTAGGGTTAGGTTAGGGTTAGGGTTAGAGGTTAGGGTTAGAGGTTAGGGTTAGAGGTTAGGGTTAGAGGTTAGGGTTAGGTTAGGGTTAGAGGTTAAGGTTAGAGGTTAGGGTTAGAGCTTAAGGTTGGAGCATCATCATCATCATCATCATCATCATCATCATCATCATCATCATCATCATCCATCATCCATCATCCATCATCCATCATCCATCATCCATCATCCATCATCCATCATCATCAGCATCATGATGATCATCACTCATCATCATCATCATCATCGTCATCCTCATCATCATCGGCATCATCATAATCATCATCATCATCAGCATCATCATCCGTCATCATCATCATCATCGGTCATCATCATCATCATCATCATCATCATCATCATCATCATCATCATCATCATCCATCATCATCATCCATCACCATCATCATCCTCATCATCTCAGCAGCCATCATCATAATCATAAGCATCATCATCATCACCATCATCAACATCGTCATCATCACCATCATCATCATCATCGTGCATCATCATCATCATCATCATCATCATTATCATGAACATCATCATCATCATCATCATCATCATCATCATCATCATCATCATCATCATCATCATCATCATCATCATCATCATCATCCATCATCATCAGCATCATGATGGTCATCATCATCATGATCACCATCATTACCATCATCTTCATCATCACCACATCCTCATCATCCTCGGCATCCTCAGCATCAGCATCATTATTATTATCATCCATCATCATCATCATCATCATCATCGGCATCATCATCAGCATCATCATCATCATCATCATCATCATCATCAGCACCATCATCATCATCATCATAATCATCGTCATCATCATCATCGTCATCATCATCATTCATCATCATCATCACCACCATCATCAGCATCATCATCATCATCATTCAGCATCATCATCATCATCATTATTATTAATGATCATCATCCATCATCATCATCATCATCATCATCATCATCATCATCATCATCAATCATCATCATCATCATTATCGACTTCGTCATCATCAGGGTTAGAGGTTAGGGTTAGGGTTAGAGGTTAGGGTTAGAGGTTAGGGTTAGAGGTTAGGGTTAGAGGTTAGGGTTAGAGGTTAGGGTTAGAGGTTAGGGTTAGAGGTTAGGGTTAGAGGTTAGGGTTAGAGGTTAGGGTTAGAGGTTAGGGTTAGAGGTTAGGGTTAGAGGTTAGGGTTAGAGGTTAGGGTTAGAGGTTAGGGTTAGAGGTTAGGGCTAGAGGTTCGGGTTAGAGGTTAGGGATAGAGGTTAGAGTTAGAGGTTAGAGTTAGAGGTTAGGCGTGTCAAAAATCCGCCGCGGGACCCCCCCTCCCCCCCTCAGACTCCCCTAACCACCACTTAGAACACGCCTCGCCCCTTTGCAGAGACTAACTTGGCTTTTGCAAAGGGGTCGGCGGATATGTTGGGGGTGTGGATTTGATTTGTTGACGTTGGATAATGATCGGCCCCGTGATACTAAAATGAGTCTATTAGATGATGCATCGATTTCAGGCATTATCGCAGTAGTCGATTCCAAACAGCATCCGGGTAGAGTTGCATGGTCTAACGGAGGTTTTACCGTTAAATAAACTCACAGCCATCTGCAAGCAGAGTGTAGCGGTTGGCTTCTGCAACAACAGTGCCAACTGCTCTAGAAGACTGCCTGTCTGCAAGATACAATTTCTTGTCACACTTTGCCCGATCAAGCTAGTCTTCCGAAGTTCTCAAAGGGCCCCTTGAGGACCTTTCAACAGCATTGTCAGGCACGCAAGCAGCCTGTTCCGCAAGCTCCTCAACTTGTTTTTTGGGCAGCAGGAGATCGTGGAAAGCAAGATCAGAGGCCCAACCCGGAATGCAAATTCCTGATACATATACATGATTCGATTTATATGTGTATACCAATTCTCCTGATGCTTTGTTGAGGAAGGGTCAAGTTGAGCTCGAGCTTTGTTTGCTCCGCCTCAATATTTGTTTAAAAATCTTGGACATTGCGGCCTCAACCCATTTGGGTTCTGACGGGGACCCATAAAGGGTTCCAAAACAAATTTGGTTTGACCGCTTGATCGAAGCTGCGAGAAATCTTCCCTCTTCAAGTTCTGTGCGGGAGCCTGGGGCCCTTGTCGTCAAACAGACAGCTGGACTTGGCAAGGGCAGCAAGGGCGAGTTGGGGAGACCCCAAGCGCAAGCGCCTTTGCTTCGCGCCAACAGCCCTGAAAACCACGCTGCAACAAACAATCACAAGTCAACAACTGCATGTTGGCGGCTGGATCCGTGGGGGTTAGATTCATGACCTTTGGACAAAACACAAAAAACAAGTGCAACACATGAGTACATGTCCAGCTCCCCCAGTAGTGCCCTTTTACCTTTTTTTTTGGGGGGGGGGAAAGGGGGCGGGTTCCCCCACTAAAGTAGACCCTTATTCTAATCTCTCTACTGGAGGACCTAGAAGTTAGCCCTCGTCAAGAGTCTTTTTTGGTGAGCACTGTTGACCCGGAGGACTTCCATGGGGCTCTCTATAGATAAATCCCCCCAGTTGCCCAGTGGTACCTCTTTTTTCCGATTTGGTTTGGCCCTCAAAAGTCAACCAACCAAAAGAGGATGCCGTGTTTTTTTCCCCATGGAAATCCACTGGGCATCTGAGTTTCTTTGCTGAGATGCCAAGATTGAGCTGAGGCACCACAGTGCTGACCACCACCACCGTCACTCAGACAGCGACCGCCACGACTGTGTCGCACACGTCAACAACTTCCACCGCAACAACAATGGTGCGCCCGGCTCACTTATCATTTGCCAGTGGAAGCATGATCGGATTTTCACAAAAGGAATCACAAGAAAATCTAGGCTTGCTTGCAGTTTTAGACAATTTAATAGAGACCCTTGCAATGGCATGCTCATTTTGGCAAGCCAATAGGTGAGCATGATGGGCTTGTTGGGAAAGAGCCGATATTTCGCGGCAACTTGGACAGCCGCGTGTCTTCAGTTTTGGCCGCGTTTGGTCGCACTGGTCTCATGGGGTGACTTTGATGCTTCTGGTTCAAGAGGCCTCAGGACACATCGGAGGTCCCAGGCTGCGAGCGCCCCCAGTAGTGCCCTTTTACCGTTTCTGTCTTGGGGGAGATTCGGTTCCCCTACTAAAATAGACGACAGAAAAAGATGGGTGTCCATATTGGAGGACCTAGAATTTGTTCAAGACTTCAAAGACACATCCAAGTTGAAGGCACGGCCTTTTCCTTTGGAGACGCTGACGCGACTTTCACTTCACCCATTCCGTTTGCTTCCGCCCAGAGTACAGCCAACAACTGGAGGCACAGCCATCAAGCTGATAGGGGGCGTAAATGGACAACAAGCCTTGGATAGGGTGTTCGCCTCTGATACCGGTCGACTATTTGAGTACCCTTCCTCCAACTAACATGGCACCTGTGGCGAGGTACCTGGAAGATGAATTTCCTTTTGAAGGGAACCCCTGTCAGTTGCCCTGATAGTGGGAAGGAGGGTAGCAACATAGTCATGGAGTGCATGTTTGAGATCCGGGGCCGGCACCCGGGCGAAAAAAGACATCTTTGCGCTCTATTCGTTTTGGAGACGGCCTCGGGCAGGCGGAAACTCACGGTTGCAGCTTGTCGGTTACCCACACAGTTTCTTTGGTTTGAAGCTTTGCCTGCTTTGGAGATGTATTTGATTTGATCCTTGATATCCTAAATTTGTTCAGCTTGGCGCCGGGTATTGTTTGCGCTTTTGTGACGGAGAAACCCCGTCTCTCAGCAGAGAAGCTCCTTGTACCTTCAATCCAGTGCGCAAAGGTCACTTCAGCTCAGCCAACTCGGCCATCAGGAGGATTCTGGGCAGAACAAATGTGTTCAGTTCTCATGCAAACCTCATTGACTGTTTGCAAAAGATGATTGTGCCGTTCTATTTGCAAGGAGGCATAGTATGAATCTATCGAGAGGAATGCCTGTGACTACCCAGCTGTACCTTGATGTGCTTGATATCACAACACACTTGCCGAAGGTCTTGCAGTTGCACTGCCATTACAAGAACTGCTTGTGCTTGTGATTGCAGCCTTAGATTGCCGCACAGGGCCGCATTGCAACCCCCCTTGTTGTATGTGAGACATGAGAGCCTTGAATTGCACCCGTGCAGTTTAGAACAAAATCTGACTCGTCACGTCCCTGCTCCGCTCGCATGTGCTTGGCCACCCTGTGCCCTCTGAAGTACCATGACCAACTGTATGGGATTTGAGCGCCCCCCATTGGCCATTTTGGTGGGGGGTTCTACTACCTGGATGAGTAGGGATTATAGTAGTCCCGAAATGTAAGCCTTACTGTGCTAGTAGAAGCAACGGTGAATGGAATTTGGTTGCTGCTCAGTTCACTAGTTCGGCACCCAACGTCTGAACCCCGGTTTGGATGCAGCGTCAGTACTAGTTGCATTTGAGATCTGAATCGGCGTGGAAACTCGCCGACCCGCTTCAGACAGCCACCACCGGAACGACAGTCCGCACCTCGAGGGTATCACGTCTCGCCGTTCGATCGATGGCTCTTACTCCTTCAAGAAGGTTAAACACACATGAGCAGCTCTAAAAAAAGTCACGTCCCAAGCAAGAGTTGTGTCATAACAATCCCATAGCAGGGATTCATGGGAGATTAAAAGAGTCGCTCACATGACACGGAGGCTTTCCTGAGATTTGGACACGAATTCGCTGAGAGTGCCTTAGAAGAGAGCTCTAAGGCCCGGCAGTGGCACATCATGCGCTGATTCAGTTGTTGTTTATTTTATTTGTTAAGTTTATTGTGTATAACAGCGGCTACGGCAGTTTCATCCATGATTATTTATTAGATGCCAAGTCATTTGTGGCATTCATTATGTGACTTGAGGGTGGTGTTGTCTTGTCGGGTCTGACGCAAGGGTAAGGTTGTACGCCGCTTTGGTGCCCGAAGCTTTGTGCTACCAGAACCCGCAAGATGCCCACATTGAGTCCTGCTTGAGGCGATGCTTGAGCTCGACGCTCTTCTTTTTTTTCGCCCTTGGGACCCTTTGAGCTTTTTTTGCAGGGCAAAGCTGGTTTCAACCAGACCCCTGCACCCCAAAGGGAGACCAATAGCAGGTTAAGACCATCTATGTTAAAAGCTATTTTGCAAAACGCAAAACCAACTTTTGGAAAAATAGATGGGTTTTCCCGACTTAGTTCGGTTCGAACCGTGCGGTTGAACCACCTCATGAAGCGCTTGGCCCTTGTTGCCCGCGCTCCCAGACCTCCGAGACGAGCACCGTGTCAGAGGCGGGCGTCGGCCACGTGGCGAGCAAAGGTGGTCGCTGAACTTCCGTATTCTTGGACTCACAAGTGGCCATGAGTCAAAATCCCGTACCCCCAGTGAACATCCCAAATCCTCACTAAAATAGACCAAAATGGGTGGTGCACCTACCCCAAAATGGTACCATTGGTTTTGACCCACAGCCAAGTAACAACTGCTCAACGGGACCTCCAGCCGCTGCGACTTGGTTGGCGTGCTTACTTGGCTGATTTGCTGACTGGCTTGGCTGTTGAGGGCGTCTCTGAAACCAAGGAGGTCAGAATCATGATTTGAGCCACGGACAAAACACGCGTAGACCACTTTATCAAGACGGGGCACGCTTTTGAGTAACACATCCCAAAACCATGGAAAACGATGAGGTCTCCCCCAAAAACGATGACCCTTAACGAACACACGGCTCTGTAAATACGACACTTGTACTGAGAAGTTGCGATTTTCGAGCTGGAGATGCGGAAGTGTACTTCGCGTACAGCCTAGGCTTGTACTACAAAGCTGCGATTTTCGAGCTGGAGCTGCGGAAGTGTTCTTCGCGTACTAGACTTGTACTACAAAGTTGCGAATTTCGAGCTGGAGCTGCGGAAGTGTACTTCGCGTACTAGACTTGTACTACAAAGTTGCGATTTTCGAGCTGGAGCTGCGGAAGTGTACTTCGCGTACTAGACTTGTACTACAAAGTTGCGCGAGCTGGAGCTGCGGAAGTGTACTTCGCGTACTAGACTTGTACTACAAAGTTGCGATTTTCGAGCTGGAGATGCGGAAGTGTACTTCGCTTACTAGACTTGTACTACAAAGTTGCGATTTTCGAGCTGGAGCTGCGGAAGTGTACTTCGCGTACTAGACTTGTACTACAAAGTTGCGATTTTCGAGCTGGAGCTGCGGAAGTGTACTTCGCGTACTAGACTTGTACTACAAAGTTGCGATTTTCGAGCTGGAGATGCGGAAGTGTACTTCGCGTACTAGACTTGTACTACAAAGTTGCGATTTTCGAGCTGGAGATGCGGAAGTGTACTTCGCGTACTAGACTTGTACTACAAAGTTGCGATTTTCGAGCTGGAGATGCGGAAGTGTACTTCGCGTACTAGACTTGTACTACAAAGTTGCGATTTTCGAGCTGGAGATGCGGAAGTGTACTTCGCGTACTAGACTTGTACTACAAAGTTGCGATTTTCGAGCTGGAGCTGCGGAAGTGTACTTCGCGTACTAGACTTGTACTACAAAGTTGCGATTTTCGAGCTGGAGCTGCGGAAGTGTACGTACTCTTGCGCGACTAGACTTGTACTACAAAGTTGCGATTTTCGAGCTGGAGCTGCGGAAGTGTACTTCGCGTACTAGACTTGTACTACAAAGTTGCGATTTTCGAGCTGGAGCTGCGGAAGTGTACTTCGCGTACTAGACTTGTACTACAAAGTTGCGATTTTCGAGCTGGAGATGCGGAAGTGTACTTCGCGTACTAGACTTGTACTACAAAGTTGCGATTTTCGAGCTGGAGCTGCGGAAGTGTACTTCGCGTACTAGACTTGTACTACAAAGTTGCGATTTTCGAGCTGGAGCTGCGGAAGTGTACTTCGCGTACTAGACTTGTACTACAAAGTTGCGATTTTCGAGCTGGAGCTGCGGAAGTGTACTTCGCGTACTAGACTTGTACTACAAAGTTACGATTTTCGAGCTGAAGATGCGGAAGTGTACTTCGTGTACTAGACTTGTACTACAAAGTTGCGATGATCGAGCTGGAGATGCGGAAGTGTACTTCGCGTACTAGACTTGTATTACAAAGTTGCGATTTTCGAGCTGAAGATGCGGAAGTGTACTTCGCGTACTAGACTTGTACTACAAAGTTACGATTTTCGATCTGAAGATGCGGAAGTGTACTTCGCGTACTAGACTTGTACTACAAAGTTGCGAATTTCGAGCTGGAGATGCGGAAGTGTACTTCGCGTACTAGACTTGTACTACAAAGTTGCGATTTTCGAGCTGGAGCTGCGGAAGTGTACTTCGCGTACTAGACTTGTACTACAAAGTTGCGATTTTCGAGCTGGAGCTGCGGAAGTGTACTTCGCGTACTAGACTTGTACTACAAAGTTGCGATTTTCGAGCTGGAGCTGCGGAAGTGTACTTCGCGTACTAGACTTGTACTACAAAGTTACGATTTTCGAGCTGAAGATGCGGAAGTGTACTTCGTGTACTAGACTTGTACTACAAAGTTGCGATTTTCGAGCTGGAGATGCGGAAGTGTACTTCGCGTACTAGACTTGTACTACAAAGTTGCGATTTTCGAGCTGGAGCTGCGGAAGTGTACTTCGCGTACTAGACTTGTACTACAAAGTTGCTCGAGCTGGAGCTGCGGAAGTGTACTACGTACTAGACTTGTACTACAAAGCGATTTTCGAGCTGGAGATGCGGAAGTGTACTTCGCGTACTAGACTTGTACTACAAAGTTGCGATTTTCGAGCTGGAGATGCGGAAGTGTACTTCGCGTACTAGACTTGTACTACAAAGTTGCGATTTTCGAGCTGGAGCTGCGGAAGTGTACTTCGCGTACTAGACTTGTACTACAAAGTTACGATTTTCGAGCTGAAGATGCGGAAGTGTACTTCGTGTACTAGACTTGTACTACAAAGTTGCGATTTCGAGCTGGAGATGCGGAAGTGTACTTCGCGTACTAGACTTGTACTACAAAGTTGCGATTTTCGAGCTGGAGCTGCGGAAGTGTACTTCGCGTACTAGACTTGTACTACAAAGTTGCGATTTTCGAGCTGGAGATGCGGAAGTGTACTTCGCGTACTAGACTTGTACTACAAAGTTGCGATTTTCGAGCTGGAGCTGCGGAAGTGTACTTCGCGTACTAGACTTGTACTACAAAGTTGCGATTTTCGAGCTGGAGCTGCGGAAGTGTACTTCGCGTACTAGACTTGTACTACAAAGTTGTGATTTTGAGCTGGAGATGCGGAAGTGTACTTCGCGTACTAGACTTGTACTGCACAGTTGCGATTTTCGAGCTGGAGATGCGGAAGTGTACTTCGCGTATTAGACTTGTACTGCCTGCCAAGTTTCGCTTTTCGAGCTGGAGCTGCGGAATTGTATTTCGCAATTTTCGGGCTGGAGCTGCGGAAGTGTACTTCGCGTACTAGACTTGTACTACAAAGTTGCGAATTTCGAGCTGGAGCTGCGGAAGTGTACTTCGCGTACTAGACTTGTGCTAGAAAGTTGCGATTTTGGAGCCGGATCTGCCAAAGTTCGAAAACACTGTAAAACGATGAGGTCTCCCCCAAAAACGATGACGTTAAAAAAAGTACTAAGGCCAAGTAAAGGGTTTCGTCCGCTCCTCATTTGTTAATCCCTGCGCAAAATGACAACAGGGAAAGCGTTTCTGGTTTGCAGGCTTGAGACTGCCTTTACGCAAACGCGCCAGCACGTTTGGGAGTGATTGAGGGTCTGATCATGTTTGCCTTTGAGCCGCGTTGGGGCTCATGTTGCCAGTGGATGCCAATGCCAGGTAAGCCTGAAACCGGAGTCTCCAGGGAACATTTTAGGTTTGTTTGTGAGAGGACCTTCTTCCAATGATGCCTTCTTCTGGCCAAACGTTTTGATGTCCAACGTAGCGCCCAACGAAAACAGCAAAAGCTCACTTCCTGAGTTGCTGGACTTTATCCTTCATGGGAAGGCCATTTTCGTGGTAAACAAGAGTTCGGACTTTTCTGGGCCATCTCAGGAGGTGAGGAAGAGGAACCGGCGATTCGCACAAGCGACAAGGGCTTGTCCAAATCAAGTCAGCCCGTCACAACGCAGACGAGCACTTGGACGGCCACGTCTACAGTCGTGGCCTGAGCTCTTGAGCTGGGAGCAGAACTGGGTGTTCAATCCAGGCCAACGCGCCTGTTTTTTTTTTTTTTTAATATATATATATATATAATAACAGGGGGTGTAACCCAAAACGCGCAAGCCCCCTCTGAAGAGGCCTGAGGGTGGCTCTCTTTGATTCTTTCTCAAGTTGAGTCTTGTCAAGGCGAAGCTTGAGCCCGGAACCGGGTGATCTGTTTTGGAATTCTGTCCTCTCGCAAAGGTCGGAGGGCCACTGCCATTGTTTCACTTCCTAGTTAGGCGTTCTTTTTGGGATTGGAAGTTCATTTGGGAAGCAGCATGTCTTTGCCTTGGTTCAGTCCAATATGCCGCGCTGTTTCTGCCTTGAACGGGGGCAAATCATTTGGTGAGGCAGTGAGCGGCCTTAGGGCACGGGGAAGAACGATTCAAGCGTCAGGAGAAAGATTCAACCTTTCTCTCAAAAATCCGCGTGGAACATACGGAGCCTTCTGGTTTCGGGGCCTAGGTTTGCCAAACAACTGCATTCAGACGCCTGTCAGCCTCCATGTTTGCTCAAGTCATGGTATTGTTTGACAACAAGAATACCAGTACCATCCCGAAGGAGCCATCACGTACACCGCTGGCCGGTTTTGAAGCTAAGGACACTTCAACGTTCACGGCTTCTGCCTCAGCTTAGCCCAATGTGTTGTGCTTGTGAGGTTCAGAAGTTGTTAGATTGTCCATTTGCGGCCACGCGAAGAAAGCCCATGCAATTACCACTCGGTCGGAATGAAGTTGCTGGCTTGATGCTGTAGTGTGGCACCTGGATTCCTTCTTGACTGCTGATGCCACTGTTCGTTTTACAGAGGCTCCTGCTGTGACGTTCACGTCCTCATCCACGACGGTGTCAGCATCCACAACGATTGCAGCTGCCTTAGTTGGGCTTGTGCCTAGGCTGATTGGGCATGTTGTGGGCGAGCCAACACGAGCTTGCCACTAGCCTGTAAAAGCAGGACGTGAGCCCCATGCAGCCTCGTTGTGACAAGAATAGCGTGGAGCGCACTCAAATGGCATTGTTGAAATGGTGGAGGCCCTATCGATTCAAGGGCTCAAAATTCGGGGCCGATGAGTCGAATAGTGTGGCGGGCTCTCAATCGATTCGCTGGCGAACGTGCTGCCACAATCCATGTTACATGTGAGTCTTGACAAAGACGAGTGATTTGACGGTAGCTCATGTGTATTTTTCCTTGTTTTGCCATCCAAGAGCAAGTCGCATGCTTAGGAAGCAGCGGGGTCCACCGGTGCTGAGGCGCCTGGGGTGGATCAATAGGGCTCATCGGATTGCTCGAATTGTGTTTTTATTCCCGAAAGCATCGTGAAAAGGTCCGTGCGGAGGGGTCCCTTCTAACTTGCACAGAGCGCCCTGCTCAGCGAGCATGCTTAGAGAACTTTCTCAGTCCCCTTTCACAAGACCCCTTAAGCTCGCTGTTATTCCGTGCACCTGCCCTCAATTTGAGTCTTGTCAAGGCGAAGCTTGAGCCCGAAACCGGGCGATCTGTTTTGTAATTCTGTCATCTCGCAATGGAAGTTCATTTGGGAAGCAGCATGTTTGTGCCTTGGTTCAGTCCAATATGCAACGCTGTTTCTGCCTTGCGCGGGGACATATCACTTGGTGAGGCAGTGAGCGGCCTTAGGGCACGGGGAAGAACGATTCAAGCGTCAGGACAAAGATTCAACCTTTCTCTCAAAAATTCGCGTGGAACATACGGAGCCTTCTGGTTTCGGGGCCTAGGTTTGCCAAACAACTGCATTCAGACGCCTGTCAGCCTCCATGTTTGCTCAAGTCAAGGTATTGTTTGACAACAAGAATACCAGTACCATCCCGAAGGAGCCATCACGTACACCGCTGGCCGGTTTTGAAGCTAAGGACACTTCAACGTTCACGGCTTCTGCCTCAGCTTAGCCCAAATGTGTCTGCTTGTGAGGTTCAGAAGTTGTTAGATTGTCCGTTTGCGGCCACGCGAAGAAAGCCCATGCAATTACCACTCGGTCGGAATGAAGTTGCTGGCTTGATGCTGTAGTGTGGCACCTGGATTCCTTCTTGACTGCTGATGCCACTGCTTCGTTTTACAGAGGCTCCTGCTGTGACGTTCACGTCTTCATCCACGACGGTGTCAGCATCCACAACGATTGCAGCTGCCTTAGTTGGGCTTGTGCCTAGGCTGATGGGCATGTTGTGGGCGAGCCAACACGAGCTTGCCACTAGCCTGTAAAAGCAGGACGTGAGCCCCATGCAGCCTCGTTGTGACAAGAATAGCGTGGAGCGCACTCAAATGGCATTGTTGAAATGGTGGAGGCCCTATCGACTTAAGGGCTCAAAATTCAGGTCCGATGAGTCGAACAATGGTGGCGGGCCAGTTTGGGTGACTGACAAGCATGGTTATAACCTATGTATTAAAATCCAGATTGGATAACATGACGCATCCCATCAACAAGTATCGGCGAAGCTGCCGCGCAACAAGCTGCAGTGATCAAGTCGCATGCTTAGGAAGCAGGGGGGTCCACCGGTGCTGAGGCGCATGGGGCGGTTCAAGAGTGCTCATCGGATTGCTCGAATTGTGTTTTTATTCCCGAAAGCATCGCGAAAGCTTGCTCAGCGAATATTCTCACAGAACCTTGCTGAGATAAACTTGCTCCAAGAAACTTGGAGAACTTGCTCAGATAACTGACCTTGCTCAGAGAAACTTGAATAGAAAAACGTACCGCAAGAAATTTAGAGAACTTGCTTAGAGAACTTGCTCAGGGAGCCTGCTCAGCGAAACTTGCTCAGATAAGTTTGTTCAAAGAAACTTAGAGAACTTGTTTAGAGAACTTGCTTCCAACCCTAGCCCTGATCGGTGCCACCGATTCTCCAACGAGTGATGAGCAGCCAGCGGAAGCCAGTGGCACTTCTCGAAGTTGCAAAATGAAAAGAAGACATGTTGCCACTCATAGTTAGTTCAACCGAAGTTTGATCCAAAGAAGCTGTAAACAGCTGTTTGAGGCACATGTGCCAAATAGTGAACGAGTGGTTGACGGGGGAGGAAGGTGAGTGGATGCTGTTTCGTTCAAGCTTTGGCCGCAGCTTTGGATTGCGGGGAGGTGCTTTCAGTTGGCACAAGAATGCAGGACAACCCCATGCACCCTGACAAATCACTAGCCTGCCTTCGATTTCAAAGGACATACATTTGGGTTTTCAAAGCGAAGCACCCAGGCAAGAGCCCTATGGGTGTGTTGCATAATCAGCCCCCCCTCTGAGCGGTCGGTCCTGTTGGTTTCCCTGCAAACAACAGACCGCTATTAGTCTATGCAGGGCCCATGACCACCCAATAAGTGCTTCTTATGGGGATTCTTACTGTGGACCTCTATCATCCAGCTGGTCTATCGATCTGGAGTGCTAATAGGGACCAACTCGATGAGCAAAACCACTATAGTAGGTACCCTCGTGTTCCCAAATCGTACGGGGGGAGAAAACGAGCTCACCCATGGGACCTCGTAGCCGTGATTCCTGTTTGTGAATTATTGTATGCCCGGATTGCACAAGCTGAAACAGTGCCACTTTCCAGACTTAATTCCTTAAGGCTTACAAAACATCCAAGTCGTTAAGCCTCCCAGGGAAAAACATGGAAGGTTAGTTTGAAAGATGAAAGAGGCCAACGCATCTATCTCCCATGGAATTGGCGGACTCTTTCAAGGGAGCTGGAGGCCTGCAAAGGAATTCACATGTTGTTTCTGATTGTCTCTTGCGATGGACAACCCCGCTTGCAATTCCTCTTGATCGAAGGGACCGCAGGGTTTTGGGTGGTTTGTAGAAAGAAGGATGCCTGAAAAAAATGGGGAGGGTATCCCTAGAAAGGTGGCAATTGTGTTTGCCTGGCAGACTTGGCAGGCAGGTAGTGAGACGACCAGCGAGGCGTGGGCGAGCGACGTAGTCTCGGCTTGCCATTGGTGTCAGTGTGTAGGACCAGAAAGCCGAGTGTTGGGCTGCTCTCAAAAGCTGCAAGCCTTCCAAGGGGTAAAGGGGTGAAATGCGCAAATTGGTGAAACGAACCAAGTCTCGGGGATGTCAATTGTCATTTTGTGTCCAGGGAGAAAATGTCCCTGACATTTATTCTCAGTGGCCCAATTTCTTGTTATCCTGCGCAATGGGAAATTCCTTTCAGAAGCCCGTGTTGTGAGAGGATGCGTTTCTGCGGTTCAGAACAAACAACTCAAGAACTGGACGAAAAACAGGAAAGCACTCCCCCAGATAAAAAAGGTATTGGGCATGTCCGGACTATGTCCCTTTGTTTGTTGTTGTCGTTGTTTTCTGTTTTCCTCAATCTCTGTTGTTTTCTTTGTGGTTCTTTGGTTGTTTGGGGCCTTGAGGCAGATGCTGCACTGCTGTTTGCTTCAGGTCCTACACCAAGACTGTCAGCTTGCAAGTTTCCCTTAGTCCCCCAGTAGTGCCCTTTCTCACCTTTTTTGGGGGAGGGTTCCCCTACTAAACTAGACAACAGAAAAAAGGGTACCCTTGTTCTAACCTCTCTACTGGAGGACCTAGTACTTGGAAAGGAGCTTCCTATATGATTCAAAACAATCAATAGTTCCTAGTTTGACAATAGTTACATTTGGTTTGTCTATAATTATATAGAAGGACAACCGGCTTGGCTTTCCCAACCATATCCTGTTTAATGTTTCATTAATTTAGAGTAAACAACCTTGATACTGGAAACAAAATCTGACTCAACATTGCAAGGGATGCCTGTTTTAAGTCTCATTCAACATAAGAAACCTGCCTAAACCATTTTGACGCAAGTTAAATTCGAACTAAAGTCCAACTTGGAAAGAAAGCACAACTTAACATCTAATCCAAAGCAACAACAACATTGAATTCCAATTCAATATTGCTCAATCTTAAAGCCGTGCAATTTGACACGGTGTATTTCACTCCTTTTAAGGAGCAGACGCGACCACCTTGTCTTCCACACCAGATTCTACTTTAAATTATATCGCCAAGCTGGAATGCAAAGGAAGATGCTAAGACAATTGCAGCTACTCTGGCTTGAACGACCGGCAGCAATGGCATCTTGCAACAATCCGTGTAGACATGTTCCCACACAGCCGTGGGTCAACACCAATGGTACCATTTTGGGGCAGGTGCACCACCCATTTTTCTATTTTAGTCGGGATTGGGATGTTCACTGGGGGTACGGGCTTTTGACCCATGGCCACATGTATAAAAAAAGCGATTTTGTGTGCGATTGACCATGTTCGGGGGCGCGGGCCACATGGGTTCCCCTTATGGTTTGCCATTGAGTTTTTGGCAATTTACTTGCAATGCCCAACGGGTCTAGTCCAGGCAACGAGAACCCGGGTGACCGACTAGACAACCCTGATAGCCATCTAGGCCATCTAGGGCTTCAGCAACTTCCCTTTTCAGCAATATCACCAGGGCAACAAGTCGACGTGTCAAGCAATCAACTGTTTGCTGCGACTTTCGTTAAACAAAAAAATTGGCTATCCCCCTTTTTGCAAATAGGCGGGTGTTCAATGTGGCTTGTGTTTTTATCGGCTCGGGTTGTGCCCACGTCAAGCTGAGTTTTTCATGCTCACGTCTATCGTGGATTATCGTCGAGTCAGTGCAGTCGGCTCGTCGGCTCAGGTTCCTCGGGGTCCAACTGGATCGAGAGAGATGGCAAGGTGTAGGGTTCCAGCAGTTGATACTGTGGATGGACGAAATCCATTTCGCACCACCTAAGAAACCCTGGTTCCTGATGATTCCCTTGTAAATACCAACAAACAATGGTTTTTCATGGTTTCAATGTGGTGCAGGATTTCGTCCATCCACCGTATCAGCATGTTTCGGCTCCAGAAGTATTTGTGGTGTATGCTATGTTAGGACTTGCCCATGAAGAAATCGTCCAGCCTCACCAAAATGGAAGTCAACCGCCGAGAACATACTTTCCGCCATTTGTTTCACGTACCGGGGTATGGGAAACCAGGAGCAAACCAGTTGAATAACAGGAGGGTGTCCCGTTGGGGGAATCCTTTACTTTTGAGATCTAGGGTTTAGGTTAGGAGGCGTAGGTGTAGGATTTTTATGGCGTAGGTCTAGAGATGGATCGAGCGCGGACTATCTAGATCTGAGGCAGTGCCAGGTAGCGGAGCGTCCAGCGCGTGCCAGGTTTGGTTTGGCTCGTTGACGTGCTTTGTATCAGCTTACATCAAACCGCTTGGAGTATTGAGGGAACGGGTCCAAGCAGCAGTAGAAACAGGCATCGTTGCTGCTCAGGAGTTTGGAGGAGCCAGTCAGTGATTTGCCCAAAGTTCGGTCCAAGAGCTAGCAGACTAGGCTGTGAGCCAATCGGCCACAAGGTTTGGCGTGTTCCGATGTTTGTGCTTCAGTGTCTTTGGCCTAAAACCTTCTTGTTGCTCCCACTCAATCGGGGGGTATACGGGTATACGGAGTGAGAAGCACTATTTGGGTGTGCGCTGATGTCGCGCGTGTCAGGCCGCAGGGAACACCAGCTGGACGCTGGTCCGAGATGGGCGCAAGCGCTTCGAAAGGGCCCATCTTCTCGGTGGCGATTCGATGAAATCAACGGGTGCGGAGGTCAATATCGGTATGGGTCATAACCTATGCCTCGAGTTTGGAGCGGATGAACACCCATGTACCACCTATTTTGATGTTCACCAGGGGTACAGGGTTTTGACCCACAGCCATATTTGCTTTTTGTTTTTTCTAATTACGACAATTGTCACGAACAGATTTGGGGTACACTTGGGCCACATTGCCACTGCACAGAGTCTGCAGGTCACGAATCTCCCCAGTTTGTTTCCAAATTATTCTTAGGTTTTACACGCAGCATCAGATATGAAATCAGAATATGTTTTGTGTGTTATGAGGTATGTCAAATACACGTATTATCGATAGTCTTTATGTCAGCATCATTCTTACGGTTCGCAATTTGTTTGCCTATTTACATTTCTACGTCTCGGAGCTATATCTTATGTATTCGCGTGACAGAACTCCCAGCTTTGCTGGTACTTTTCCCGTTCATGGGGAAGTGAATGAATAACATAAAGCGACACGAGCGGCTTCGGCGGCTGGTTTCAGTGTCATGATGTGCCACGTGTCAAGGAAGGAGGTACCGGCACAAAGGGCCGCGATGTGTATGTCCCGACGTTGATAGCACCCAGTCCGTTTTCTTGGTACATAGGTATGTCATCCCTGCACCATGCGAGCCAGTTCGAAAGGCATCGGCAGTCAACGGCTGATGATGTCTCTATTCTCCACCTCCTTTCCGCATGAGTTTCGACCTCCGGTTCGGGCCGGCCCTCTCAGCATCTCAGACTCAAGCCATCCTCTTTCCCCTTTCGCCCCTTCGAGTTTCCTTGATTTTCCCTGTTGACGGCAAGCAGTCCACCTTTTTCAGAAGCCGAGGAGTGTGAGCGTCCCCCTGGCCTATGCTATGACTGACTGTTACCATCAAGCTTTCCTGTCCCCGCAGGCGGGGGCAAAGCAGACCATAGTCTTCCATTTGCTGAAATGAATATTTTTTATTTTCCCCTGTTGGTTTTAAAGGGAATTTATTTCACTACTGGAGAAACTTTCTCATTTTTGTCCAGGGGTCTTAACCAAATGGAAGTAGTCCGTACAACCGCCCGTTGGACGGATTTTCGGGGACTAGTTGAAAGAGACGCTTCGACTATTCTGAATCCAGCTGATCTCTCTAAACCACTGTCTACCGCCAGGCGGGACTGAGCTACCTTCCTTGTGCCAAAGTGTGTCATTGAGTCTCATCATTTTGGAGGTCCTTGAGTTTTACATGGGGTCTTGGATCCTCGTTGCTGGCGCGTTTTTTTTCTTCTTCCAGGACTGCCTCAAAGGTCACCTTGTCAGTGCTACAGCAACCTGCCGGACACATTTTCTCCCCTTGCCCGCCTCGTGGTTGGTCCCATTCATTCTGAACCTGGAACATGTGTGCAAACATGGCGAATGCCGAGCCCGCCAGTTAAGCGATGTAAGATAGATGATAGGAGCCTTGTGTAGGGAACCGTTTGGGACTGGTAAGTGCCGGCTTTCATGGCGGGGACGAGAGAGTCATCATGTTGTCGCTTCATGTATGTTTGCAGAAGCGTTTCGGCATTTTGTTTGCTGCAACTGCAGCTTTCCTTGGAGCAGCTGCCATGTTTTCCAGGACTCATCAACTGGGCACCACGGTTTGAAAAAAGCTTTGGTCGGAACCTGGCAACCCAAAGAGTCGAAACACCCGCAAGGGCCGTGTTGTTTGACTCGCAACGTGACATCAGCTTTGGTTCAGCTTTGGAAATCAACATGGAACTCAGATGGGCACCTTTGTTCGAGAGACGTGCCTACAACTGGACATGAATGGCAGGGTCCCAGACGTTTATCAACTCCAGATGCTGAGATGTTGTGATGATGTTATCTTGCATGATGATGATGATGATGATGATGATGATGATGATGATGATGATGATGATGATGATGATGATGATGATGATGATGATGATGATGATGATGATGATGATGATGTCCAATCCTCATGGCAAGAAAGCAAAGACAGCAACAGCCGGGGCAAGATGTCGCTTGGGGTCAAAGGGGAACTCAAATGTTCGTGCTGTGCATCCCGTTTGCACTGCCTCAAACAGCTTCCTGCCATTTATCCCAAGCTACATCATGTATGGCATTTCTGGATGCAGAGGATGATAAGCCCAGTTTCTTGTCACCAAATAATGACAATCCAACCATGGCCGGGATCTCTCAATGTCCATTTTGGTAGCTTGCTGGGCCCCATGCGTCCTATGGGCGACATGTTTTGGCGAACCTGGAGCCGCAAAACCGAGAACCGACCGACCGTTGCCAGGGCTTCCTCAGCACTGACTGGTTGCTGAAGCCTCCCACCGCCGCGCCACGGCGAGGATAGAGGCCGCAGTTCTGTTTTTGTTTTGGGGTCCTCAAAAGTTCCAATCCTGGTGGTTTTCTTCGCCAGGATTTCCTTGGTAGTTTTTCGAGTTTGGGATCCGACTTGTGGTTTTCTTTTCTCACTTCCTGAGTTGCTGGACTTAAGCTACTTTGGACCATTTAAAGTGGTAAGCAAAAAGACTTCAGACTTTTTCGGGGCCATCCACTCAGGAACTGAGTTCATGCTCACACCTCTTTCAGGGATAGTTTTTGAGGGTGTCACAGTGAACCCCAAACTGGCAGCTTGTGTGTGTGTGTTGCTTGAATAGCAAGGATGGGTTGCGTGGCACGCGCTGGGCAAAAAGCGTGAGCTATGTGAATCTGAGCATGCTACGTATCTCATCATCCATCCGCAACCAATTGCAACGAATCAAAGGCAAAAATGCGATCTCAGCTTTGTTGGAGGGCCTAGAAATGTCTACAGCCGTCAACGCCCCGAGAAGCCCCAAGCCAAGACTCTTGGCCAACTGCCTTCCAAGATGTTTTTTCCCTTGCCGTAGAGAGGTCTTGGCACACCCGGATTGCCGCGGATTACACAACGACACGGTGATACATTGTGTGAGCGAAGCCTCGCGAAGCCCCGCGAAGCCAATTCGCGAAGCCCGGAAACATTCACACAGGAAAGCCATTTTGCGAAGCCACTTCGTGGTTGGAGTGTGTTATGTGCGATCATGGCAAGTGTGTTGTGTGCTCATGGCAGTAGCATGCCAAAGGTTGACGTTCAGAGTCAGAAGGCTACGACAAGACTACAGGAAGATTGCTGGAAGACGACCGGAAGAGCACTGCGCTTTTCAAGCCCGGTTTTGCTAAAAACGATGGAACGTTTTCGCAAAGCCTCTGCAAAGCCCTGGCGAAGCCTCCGCAAAGCCACCGCGGTCCAACTTTCATGCTCCGCCTCTTTGAGGCCCAGCCATGTCCCGTCCCTACTCCTGAAGCTCAATGTCTCTCTTACCGCCTTTCATCGCCCCCGTTCGCCTGGACTCAACACCGGCCTTTGTTCCAAGCCTCGAAGCGATTTTCACACTTTGGCAGCTGGTTGCACCACAGTCTGGGAACCAGTTCCATTCCAAAGCACCAATTCGAGGAATCTGTTGGGCACGCACCACTATGCACCTGAAGGAGTTGTTTGATTGAAATTTTGTCAACCGTTCTTTTCTTTTATTGGGGGTTGAACCCCAGGGTTAGGGGAGCACACCGGTGTACCAGGGTGCAGCTTCCTCGCGAAAGTCGACCAAAGGCCTTTGGAGCCTTCGGCGTTTTGGCCGCGCTGTTGCTGCTCTGCGCTTGTTGCTCGCCTCCGCCATCGCAGGTGGGGAATTTGGGCCGTGGAGAGGTCACCAGGAATTCGTCACGTGCATATCTAATGTCACATTGTCGGTGATAAGTGGGTGTGGGTCAAACATATATACCCAACATAAAACCCTAATACATAAAAGCATGGCAGCATGGACCAAAACTTGCGGTCTCCTGGTGGTTTAATTTTGACCCACACCCAAGTACCCCGTTCTTTATGTGTTATACTTGTTTGACCAGAACACCAGCAAGGGATGAATACTTTTGCTTCATGCAGCACATGCATTTGGCTCTTGTTTGAGACACACGTTGTCAGACATTTTCCCATGCCAATCACCGTGGTCATGACATGTTGACATAAGCAAATGGGGGTTGATCAATATTTTCTTCGGCCCCCAAATGACCAAGGGTAGCTTTCTTCCACGTGGTTGAAATATCATTTGTTTAAACTTGTTTTTTCACCAATGAACCCCAAGTATCGCATTTTTCACTTTGTCGCCGATGAAACGTGCAAAGAGCTTCAAGAAATGCAGATTCTAAACTGATCCAGACTCCGTACAAAAATGGGAATCCCTTGAATCCCATTAGTCAACCACGGGTTTATTGATCTTGGGTCAGTATTGAGGCCCTTTGTTTCAACCAGGTCCATTGATCGAAAAGGGCCCATCACGATCGCATGAACTCTCGCGGTCTCATCCAAGGTGGACCAGTACGACCCAAAGCCACGTCTTTTGCGGAAACCCTTCGGACCGCTTCCCCAGAAACTTAGAATAGACCCGATTTGGGGATTTCCAGGGGTGTGTTTTTGGGGCGCATCAATTGGCTCTTGGAACCATGGAGGAACCTTACCACTCCACGAAATCCAGCCGTCCATGAAAGCCAAATGCTCCATGTCTGGAAGGTTGCCCATTTGTGTAAATCAAAGTGGATGGACCTTCCCGAGTTTGTGGACTGTATACTTTTTGAGACGACCATCTTAGTGGCATGCAGAAAAGCTTTGGACTTTCTTTGGGCCATCCACTCGGGGCTTTTGCGGGACGGCCCCGAGGGTTCTTGCTACTGGAAGTGGCTTCCTGTCGGGCCGCCTTTGGTCGGCCGGAAGCCCTGCGCAGAGCTGGCATCCCGCGGCCCTGAAAAATAATGGTTGACTACTGTGGATGGACGAAATCCATTTTGCGCCAGATTGAAACCATGGTTGAAACCATAACGTTGGTTGTATTTACAAGGGAATCACCATTCCAGGGTTTCTTAGGTGGTGCGAAATGGATTTCGTCCATCCACAGTAGGTCCCCCAGCCAGGTGCCCTTTCTCGCCCCGTTTTGGTTGGGAGGGGAACCCCCTACTAAAATAGACTATAGAAAAATAATCAGATACCCTTATTTTAAGCTCTCTACTGGAGGACCTAGTTGATTGGGGAAGGAATTTTGACTGGAGATCTCCATGTCCAGTTCCCCCCCCTGTTCATTTTGTTCATGTCCTCTGCAAAACAAAACAAAATACTTGTAGGGAAATGGGATTGGTGGACCCCCCACCCCTCCATTAGAAGGTACTCGTAGGGGCGCACTGGCTCTGCGAGGCCATGGTAGAGCTGAAGCGAGGCGGCAGCGCCGAGCGGGCCGCCGGCTTTCGCTTCAGGCGCGGCAGGCGGAGTGCTGCAAGAAGTGAATGAGAAATGGAACCCCGAGAAAAAACCATCCAACTGGTGGTTTCCTTTACTCACTTCTTGAGTTGCTGGACTTTAGTCACTTTTTGTTGGAAGGCCAGTTTACAGTGTTCACTAGGGAATTGGGAGGAGATTGCACTGCAAGAAAACAGGGACCGGGGATTTCAGAGATGGCAGTGTGACCCTTGCTGAAGATGTGGAATGGCAGGTCAACTGGGGACGTATTTCAGCCCACTCCTGCTTTTCACGGTGGGGGCCGGTGGGATGCGACCCGCACCGAAACCTGGAAAGACCGGAAACCTCACTCACTGTTTGCAGCAGCTAGAAATCATTTCGGCCTGCTCGGAGTTGTGTGAAAGCTGCATAGCGTAGCGTACTGCCGATGATAGTTGTTGCCAAGTTGGATCTGCCCTTTTGATGGCGAATGGCCAAAACCCAAAGCAAACACACTTATAGCCCAACCAATCCAAAGAAGAGCTGTAGTAAGATATCTGGAAAGTTCTTCACATTTGCACTCTCGGAGCGGACACCGTCAGAGCGATACCTGCGTTTTCTAGGTGCCCCAGTAGTGCCCTTTTAGCCTTTTTTGGGGGAGGGTTCTCCTACTAAAATAGACCACAGAAAAAAGGGTACCGTTATTCTAACCTGTCTACTGGAGGACCTAGTTTTGCCCACTTTGCAAAGTGTGGGTCTGTTGGGCAGGGCCATGGTCAGCACGACCGCAGAAGTGATCCCGTCCAGAATCATGTCTGTGCCCTGCCGACGGCCCAAACACTGGACGGGCTAGCGATAGTGGAAAAACCTGGACTGAGGTGCTTGACATTGCACGGCTTCACTGGGCTGGACTGACTTGGGCCAGTTGACATTGTCGGGCCAAGCTACCTGGGGCCAGGCTTGGCTTGCTGGGCTGGTAGGCAGAATGGACGTGAACTGACTATAACTGACTTGCCAAGCCGGATGGGCTGGGCAGCTGGGCAACCGAACTAGGCAGCGGAAATTGGCTGGGCGCGGGCTTGACTAAAAACCGAGCTAGACGGAACGGTGGGTGGGCTGGAAAAGAGCTGGCCAAGCCAAGCAGAGCAAAACTGAGCTGGGCCAGGCATACTTGGCCTGACGCTTGCGGCTGAACTGAGAACTGGCTGCCCCAGCTGTCTCACTCAAACTGGACGGGTCGGGCAGGGGACAGTGGACTGGGGCACGGACGCGACACATGCGGCGAGGTTGGGCTGGCTGCCCAAGTTGTCACTTGGAGTGTTTTATGCTTGAGGGCTTTGTTTCAAACTGGATTGCTAACGCGGAGGTGTTTTTGTGTGTGTGTTTTTTTCTTCGTCTTGTTTTCTAGTTTTTGTTCTTCTTCTTTTTCTAGAGATGGAGGGTCGCCGTTCACATCCTTCTGCATCTGACAGAATCAGTGATTGCAATTGGTTGGCTTCCCACCCATGCGACAATTCCAGGTGTCAAGGCTCCGTGGCACTGAGGCATGGCGACTGCGTGGATGGGAGGTTTCGAGGGGTTAGCGGCAAACTCTTGGACGGGGTTGGATATGGCGATGGTTCAAAACCAACGGTACTTTTTTGCTTGGTAGGTGAATTCACCACCCATTTTAGGACCTATTTTAGTGGTTGGATTGGGTCCCGTTCACTGGGGGTACAGGCTTTTGGTTTTGACCCATGGCCATATTGTTTGCGAACCAAGTGTGTCATCGGTCAGCTCAGGACCCAGATGGTTCGGTTGTGTTCGGTTTGAAGCAGGGGCTGATGACTGAGAGCCGGGCGTCCCTTTCAGCAATACGTATGGTTGCCGTCTAAAAACGGGGGGGGGGGGGGGTCCCGTTTGGCTCTGACAATGCGTCGAGGCTCGAACTATATGTGCTGAAACTACCTCCAAGGCCAAACCAGTACGCAGAAGTCTGATGGGCAACACTTTGGGGCTTTAGAGCCCCTTCTTAGATCCCCTGTGCAACACGAGCCGTCTCGAAATTGTTAGACGACCCGTGTGCCCCCTTTTCCTTCATCAACATCTCCTACCGTTTTATCACTGTAAATCCTGTGTGTGTGTGGGAGACGAGAGGAAGAAGGTGGCCTGGTCTGGATATGATAGGTGTTTCATGGTCATGATTTCCCAACATCCATTCTTTAGACGAGGACGGGCATTAATAAGGAAATTCCAGATTCATTGTCAATATGTCTTTCATTTTTGGGCACTGCTTCCTTTTTCGGTCCTGCATGCCGCAAGTGGCTTCATTGGAGTGAACCTCGACTCCATCATCGGGGGTAGCAAAATTACATTTTAGCTGATGTTGGATGTTTTGCAAAGCGATTGAATGGAAAGCGGTTGGGAGTGTCGCTTTGATTCAGCACAAGTGTGAGCACACGGGCTGTTTTATTGTCAACATGCAGAATTGCAAAATATGGTACGTATTTGTCTCAACAACAAAGATGCTGCAGGAGACACTATTATTTCTGGCATTTGTTTTTGTTGCTCCGATAAATGCCGATGCCGTTCAGTGTTTTAGACCACTTGCCAAAGGCGGTCAGATGTCGATGTTATCCTTCTCAATTAACCTAGCGAAGGCGCCACGTCCTTCGCCATTTACCGTTGATCAAACATCAAAGACCTCCAGTGGTTGATGTCTGCAGGTTTGTTAACGGTTGTGATTTTGAGAAGAGTCCGCCATGGATTTCTGCCAACCACATGGCGTGCTGGCTTGTTCCAAGTTGCCAGAACCCCCCAAAACGCTTCCTAACCCTCAGCAGCCGTTTGTGGCAAGTTGTTTGTTGTTTGAATCGAAGTCGACCTGCCAGCCCACGCGGCTGAACATGACTCAACTCATAGACACCTTGTCTCCTAAGAACCCTCCAAGTCAGAGAGCACAGCCCAAGTGATCGATCTTTCCACAGCCAGCCTTTTGGCCTTGATTTCAAGCCGACCCGAGAGCCATTGGTATCCTTAGACCTCGATGTTGCCCTCCCACTGCGTCCTTTGGGCATCGTGGTATGGATGTGCAGTGGAGGTGTGTGAACTACATCCGCTGCTGCCACGCCGGTCTTTGCCTTCGCACGCTGAACCTGGTTCAGGAACTGCGCGTTTTTTTGTTGGGGTGTGGCCACTTTTGATGACCAATCCAGTGGGAAACTAGGTCCCCCAGTAGTGCCATTTTTCCCCCTTTTTGGGGGGAGGTTCCCCTACTAAAATAGACTACAGAAAAAGGGCACCCTTATTCTAACTTCTCTACTGGAGGACCTAGGAAATCATCCAGCCCTTCCGTTTCTTTTAGCACAGAACCAGCTTGGGGAGCTTGATCACAGACCGGTCCCTGGAACCACTCAAAAAAGGGCGCCAACATCGTGAAAGAGGGGTCAACAGCCGGAACCATAAGTCGTGCAAGATGAGAATTCTGTCTTTGTGTTCGGGGAACCTATGCTTCTTTCCCGGGGCCAGTAACTCTGAGTCGATACTCTTGTAGAACACCGCGGCAGGAGGGATGATGCATGAGGCATACATTTGGCATCAACTCAAAATACTTCTGTAGATCTGTTTCGGGAATACCTCTTTGGATGTTCGGGAGAGAGAACACAGACACAGAAGTTCCCATCCAGACCCAGAAGACACACGAAAGCATTACTCACCACCCGTCAGGTCATCACATGTGTTTTGCTGTAGTCTTTGGGTGATTGTTTGCCTGAGTGTTCTACTAAAGGGGCAAATGAACCTCTGGAAAGGTTGACTAGAACTACGCCCGTCCCTTTCGCCACTCCTTCTCCATTCATGCGGAGATTCTTTCTTTTGTGCTGGCCGCAGACTTCAGAGGATGGATTGGAACAAACCGATGGATGAACAGCATGGCACGAACACTGTGTCCAAAGGTCCGTACATACTTAGCCTCGACTTGATTGTATTCTTGAGGATTGTATTCTTGAGGATTGTATTCTTGATTGTATTCTGAGGATATGCATACGTTGAGAAGGGCTGGTAAGCTCACATTTCTGAAACAGATCGCTTCAGATGAAGAGATTTGCGCGTTCAGTCATTTCGAGCGGAGGATGCGTCACCTCATCCTTCTGGAACAAAGATGAGCAGTGCTCTGAGTGTGTTTTCGACCCTTCAGTGAACTGTCCAATGTCAGTTTCGCAAACCTGCGTCACATGTTTTCTCATCCAAATCTGCATGGTATGCACTTCCGCGAGCATGGGGATGATCTGGGCTCCTCAGCCCAACACACAGCAAAACAAGCAATGATCCCTCATGCTCCGTGTTGTTGGGCTCCTGTATTGATGCATCGGACGCTTCAGAGTTTGACATTTCTTTGCCACAGATGCTCAGGGATCAATCTTTAAATAACAGTTTGCGAAACCTCGGCACTCGGAGACATAGTGTAACTCCTTGGTTTTGCAAGATTGTTTCAGAAACACCTCTTTGAGGAACTATTCGCCTTGCATGTTAGGTTTGACATTGTCCTGAACCAACACAACAAAAGATCGAACTGGCTCGCTCCACAGGAGATCCATAGCTCTCAAATACGCAGCACCTGGGCAGATGAGCGTGACCTAAGCTGCAAGATGTCGGATCGGTTCAAGGGCTGTATCTCACTTGTCCAAAGCAAATCGACCTTTTGACCTTTGGGTTTCCCTGAGTTGGTCCATTTTGAGCCATGGCGAAAGGTTAACCTTTTACTTCTAGATCCTTTGAGCAGGGATTGTATGGATATTCATGTCGAGCTCCTTTGTCCTTTGTTATTGCTTGTTGGAAGCCTCTTATGCAAACCTGTCATCTTAGTTTCGGCAAAGGTGTGCGGCCCGTTTCCAGTTGTCCAGTGGGTTTCTCGTTTCAAATGCAGCAAAAAACAGCGTGTGTCTGTTTAGTCTCTGCGGCCACTGGGCAAGTAAAGCATCTGATGTACCTGTCAGCTCAAATACTAGGCGGTGAAGCTGGGGACGAGTTCTGTTTTTGGGAACTTAGCTGACATTGTTCAAAGTTCTTGGACTGTGGATGGACAAATTCCTGCACCAAATGAAATCACGGGAAACCATTGTTCGTTGGTATTTACAGGAGAACCATTCCAGCGTTTCTTAGGTGGTGCGAAGTGGATTTCGTCCATCCACAGTAGGACTAGGCCACTTTGAATGTTCAGGTTGTCGAAGTTTTGAACTGGAGGAAGCAAATTCGGCCCGGAAGACGTACCAAGGGACTGTAACTTGCGGAGAGGCACATGGTTTCCACGGTGTCCATGGCGCCCTGGCCGATCCACACTCAGGCGAGCAGCAGACAATGATTACGGTTCTCCATGCCCAGGCAGCACACATCGTAGAGCCCCTTGGCGCAATCCGGACTTGTAAGCAGTTTCTGGGGATGAGAGCTGATTTGGGGTAAAGCAAGCTCATAAGTGATTTAGGTGCTTGACTTTGAGGTTTTGCTGCAAGCGGACAACAAACTGTGAAGCAACTACCCACCTCCCACCTGTGGCAACTGCGGTAGCACTAAACATTTCACCCACAAGAGTGTCATCTGACGTTTTCGTGCGCAACACGTGTGTCACCTCCGCCAGAAACCAAAGCACTCTGCTTGACAGTGTTGAAATAGAACTTGCGATCAGACAGCGCCCAATGACTCGGCCAACAGATGTGGCAGGTTTGAGCTTGAGGCGGTTGATGGTAGAGAGCAGCGTGTGGCCATCCTGCAGATTGCGTTGATGGCTAACAGGGTCCCGGAACTTGGCACCTGGCGCTGTTTCACCAACAGCAATATAGAATTAGGCTTAGTTCACATAGTCACTCAGTTGGTCTCTTGCAAGCACACGGCCTGATTGCTCTTTTCGCAATCGGTGTTTGCAAGTCTCTGACTTTGCGTGAGCTGTTGCGGTGTCTCCCAAGACCAGTCTCTTCGGTGCCGCATGGTTATATAAATTGTTTCACTTTGTGCGTTTTGTCTTTGGCACTCACTTGTTGAGGCAGAAACACATCTTGCCGAAGGGGATCGCACTCTCCTTTTTTGCCATTCTGCTTGGCATCCAACATGCGTTTTGCGACAGCCGTTTGGACTGATCTTCGAGTAATGAGGGAGCACCCAATACTTGGCACAGTGGCCATGTACATGATGCAGCACATGCTGGTTCCGTTGCCAATGAGCACAACTTTCTGCGATCATTTTCAAGACGAGTATAGTGTGTTTTTTGATCGTATGGGGAAGTCAACAGTACGTCAATATTCGGAGAGCCTTTCCTTTTTCCTCCCACGAGACTTCTGATGGCAGGTTTTCATTCGGTTGGAGTACAGAGTTGGATGACTTAGATGCTGGAACCACATGATGACACTGGTGGCTGTTGTTTGGGCTACCGTTTCCAGTTGGGCATGTCACGCTGCGGCTTGATGGATTTATTGCTCAAGACCTGGCTTTCAAGGCAAAGGTCTCAAATCTGTAGCCTTGCACGGCCCATCGGAATGGCCTTCTGCGCGTACGAGGCGACCTTCATCTCGGTCAAGGAGCCGAAGCCGGCCCCTCGGTCCAAGAGCGCGGGAGCCAATGCGTCGCGGCAGCCTTGCGCCATGACCTCCTACGTGGCGAGCTTGGAGCAGCGAGCCTCGGCCCTGACTTTTCTGCAACGGTCAGAGGGCAGCGCAGGGCACCCGGAGCTTTGCTTCAAGCCTTGCCTGTACCTGGCCTACGGCGCATGTCCAAGGGGCGCGGAGTGCGGCTTCTGCCACCTGCCTCACAAGGGAGGCAAGCTCAGAAAGACGGACCGCGAGCTGCTCAGGCAGCTGGGCGAGGCGGATCGTTTGGCATTGACTCTCCCGTACTTGCGTGGCAAGAACCTTGGCTGATTTTGTTTTGAGTTGGCAGGTAATGGCAATCGGAAGCATAAGGCTCAGACGTATGCAAAGCTTGGAGATTGGTAGTTCAAAAAGAATACCACCACAGGACTGGCAGTTTAGGAAGGTTGTTTTTGCTTTTTGTTTCCCCTTTTTTCCCCCACAGGACTGGCAATTTAGAAAGGATGTGTTTTTTCCCTGTTTTTTTTCTTTCTCGCAGCTCAGGAACATTCCAGGCACAGACCAGCTTCTGGGCCTCATGGAGGCTCGCCTGGCATCTCTCCCCTACACTCCGCCGACGCGCGGCTTGGCACGGGTGGCCACACTCGGCAAGCTCAGCTTCCGCCAGCTGGCGCTTTTGTCGCGCGGAGTGCCAGGAGTGCTGGAAGCCTTGGCCGCGCTGCCACGTGCAGTTTGATGCCTCAGCTTGAAGTTTGAATTGCACGACACTGTCAAGGTCCCAGTTGCCCAGTGGGTTGCTTCCTTTCTCCTTTTTTTTGGGGAAGGGTTCCCTTGAAAGTCAAGCAACCACAAAAGGATGCCTTTTTTCCCCGGGCCACTGGGCATCTGAGAGATAGAGTTGGTCACGGCTTGTGGAGATTGTACTTGTAGCACATGGTTGTTAATTCTTCATTTGGGTTCAATGGTCATTTCAAGGCAAAGCAAGCTTTGCTGCAAGTGGACAACAAGCTGTGAAGCAACTGCCAACCTGTGGCAACTGCGGTAGCACAGGATCGCTTTGAGGCAGAGTTGGCTGTCGATAGATGTCACAAACCTGACACGTGTGTCACCTCCACCAGAAACCAAATCACTCTGCTTGACACTGTTGAAATAGAACTTGCAATCAGGTAGCGCCCAATGACTCGGTTAGGAGATCTGGCATGTTTGAGGCGGTTGAGGGTAGAGATCAGCTTATGGCCATCCTGCAGATTGCGTTGATGGCTAACAGGGTCCGCGCAACTTGGCACCTGGCGCTGTTTCACGAACAGAATTCATGAATAACATTAGTAGTTGGTCTGTTGCAAGCAAACTGCCTTGTTACTGTTCACCAAAATTGCCACCTGCAAGTCTTTGACCCTGCGTGAGCTGTTGCGGTGTCTCGCAAGACCCCGCGTGCAGGTTTTTCGGTGTCGCAAAGACTCCCCACCCCACAACGCACCCTCCCCCAATCATTTCATTTTCCCTTTGTAGATACAGGGGTCGCGTCTTTGCCAGTTGGGGATGGGGATTGAAGGCTGAATCCAAGCGGGCCTGGGGTAAATGACGCTGAGCAACGACGGCTTGATGTCCAAATTCAATCCAAAGGAAGGTTTGAGCCTTGCAAAATGCACTACTTTGTGGAGGATCGATCAACACTTTTTGTACTACCCCTGCCCTGAAGGTGCTATATTATTTCTACGGATTTTTCAACTGAAGCTTTGTGTATAAATCTCGTACTGCCCAGTTGCAACAGCCATGTGTCAATCCATGCCGCTTCCTTCCGGTCCCGTTCGACATGTTGAGATACACTGGTTGTATTTTGACAAAGCCTCATGGGGTTTCCAATCATTGACTACCATCCATCTTGTGTGAGCAGCTACTTTTGAATACTTTAGATAAACGTTGATTTGGCAAAACATCGATTTGGCAGAACCAGCAGACTGCGTCACTACATTCAGGCCCGGCGGAGAGTACTCGATGCAGCCGAGCTTGCACTTGAGTGCTTTCAAGGGTCTGAAGTTATAGTTTGCATCCAGAGGATGCAATTCTGACTCTCAGCCTCGTCACATCGAAGTGCTCCCCGTGCCCATGGCACCTCTTTGAAGTCGGAATCTGCGCATTTCCGCTTGGGGCGGTAGAGACGAGAGTTAGAAAGAGCCCCGACAGAATGTCGATGCCCTGAGCGGCTGTGCCCAAAACGTCCACACAAAATTTGTGCCTGTTGAAACGCGGGAAAGAGTGGGGTTTCATTTTTGGTGAAATACTCAATGCAGCAAGTCGGCCTAGCTTATTCTTCCAATTGCTTCAGGGCTTCAAACAGACCATCTTAATGGAAAGGAGCTTTGAATATGACTCTTCCCACACATCGGGGCATCGCCCTTGAAAGACTGTGATAAGATGTAGGAGAGTGTGTGTGAGTGTGAGGGTGTGTGTGTGTGTGTCGGTGTGTGTGTGTGTGTGTGTGTGTGTCGGTGTGTGTGTGTGTGTGTGAGTGTCTTTTGTGTCTCTTTGTGTGTGTTTGTGCGTGTGTCTGTGCGTGTCTCTGTGTGCGTGTCTCTCCCTCTCTCTCTCTCTCTGTGTGTCTGCGTGTGTCTCTGTGTGTGCGTCTGCATGTGTCTCTGTGTGTGTGTGTGTCTCGGTGTGTGTGTGTGTGTGTGTGGTGTGTCTGGTGTGCGTGGTGTGTGTGTGTGTGTGGTGTGTGTGGTGTGTGTGGTGTGTGTGGTGTGTGTGTGTGCGGTGTGTGTGTGTGGTGTGTGTAATGTGTGCGGTGTGTGTGTGTGTGGTGTGTGTGTGTGTGGTGTGTGTGTGTGGTGTGTGTGGTGTGTGTGGTGTGTGTGGTGTGTGTGGTGTGTGTGGTGTGTGTGGTGTGTGTGGTGTGTGTGGTGTGTGTGGTGTGTGTGGTGTGTGTGGTGTGTGTGGTGTGTGTGTGTGTGTGTGTGTGTGGTGTGTGTGGTGTGTGTGTGTGTGTGGTGTGTGTGTGTGTGTGGTGTGTGTGGTGTGTGTGTGTGTGTGTGTGTGTGTGTGTGTGTGTGTGTGTGTGTGTGTGTGTGTGTGTGTGTGTGTGTGTGTGTGGTGTGGTGTGTGTGTGTGTGTGTGTGTGTGGTGTGGTGTGGTGTGGTGTGTGTGTGTGTGCGTGTGCGTGTGTGTGTGTGTGCGTGTGTGTGTGTGTGTGTGTGCGTGTGTGCGTGCGTGCGTGCGTGCGTGTGTGCGTGAGTGCGTGGGTGCGTGTGTGCGTGTGTGGTCTGTGTGGTGTGTGTGGTGTGTGTGTGTGTGTGTGTGTGTCTCTCTGTGTGTGTGTCTCTCTGTGTGTGTCTCTCTGTGTGTGTGTGTGTCTCTGTGTGTGTGTGTGTTTCTGTGTGTTTTGAGGGTACTATTTTTGGGATTGGCTTCAAGGGAAACCAGAAGGAACTTAATCATTTTGGGAGTCTCTCTATTTTGCTACACATGCGAGTAGTGAAACTCTATCGGCGCTGCGCGATAGGTCTGTCGAGTGGGCAAGCTTATGGGCTTGCGTTTGGACTTGTGGGGAGCATGGGACCTCCCAAGAGAAGATGATTCCGCGGGAAAGGCCATCTGTTTTCTCGCCTTGGTCACGGGTGCTTCTCGAACTACGGGACCTCCAAAACTGGTTGTATTTAGTCTATTTCAGTTGGCCTCAATTTAGAAGTATCCAAACAGGGGGCCCGAACATTTCAGAAGCCTCACCAACAGGCTTGGCCCTGCGCTGCAAGTACCATGTGCTGGCAGTCCAGCGTCAGAGTTCTGCATGTTCACCGGCCCCGGGTGGAGCGAGCAGGAATTTGCTCCACCCGAAAGTGCTGAAGTGCCAGGGTCTTGGAACCTTAACCCGATGCGCACCCAAGCTGCCAGCGGAACCCAGCTGTACAAGCATCCAAGTGCAATGATACAATAAGGTACCACAGCGCCATTCCCGTTGATCCATGTCTGCTCTTGTGCGGCGGTGTCGTGCTCGAGATGCACTGCGCCCGCGCACGTGTAGATGCACTCATTCCCGATGCTTGTGTTGCACGATAGATTTGCGGGATCAGTTTTTTGTTTCAGGTCCACTTGGACGGATGAGAGGTGCCTGGGTGCCGTTCAGCAATTTGGCTTTTGATCCTGGGCGCGGCTTGTTGGGGGAGAGGGATTCTTCTCAATTTGGGTGTGGCTCACAAAGAAAGAGCTGGGGTTACGAAGATTGGTGCCAAGGTGCCGTTTTGGGCACCATTTTGTGAGCCACGGCCATTCGTGTTTTCCTCGCGAGGTGTCCTATTCAGGTCTCCCTGAGGAGTGAGCATTGAACACTCCTCGCCGTGTGGATTTTGACGGCCGGTTGATCATCAAACGAAGCTTTGAGGGAGCTCCAGCGCGTTTCGGCGGAGGGCCTGGAATGCTTCGTCTTTCTGTCAACATCGAACCTTGCCCAGGCTGTTTGGTTTACGGTGACATGCAGTGGAATGTTGCGGCCGCTTCTGAACTTGATCAAGATATAATGAATGAGAGTCAAAAGGAGCAAGCATGAGACAGTCAGCACCACAAGCGGGTCATGGTATCCCTGGGGTGTTGTGTAAGGCCCCGTGTTGTGAATGGTCAGCTGCCTAAGTGTCTCGTGCCCAACAAGCAGACGATTGTGAGGGTGGACCTGTGAATATCTGCAACAAATCGATACGTCGTCCGCTTCCCGTAGTGAATTTATCATGTACTTTCAAGGTTGCAACATTCTGAGTGAACTATGACCAGGTTATGTGACCAAGGCTTGACCAAGGTCACTGACATATCCTTGCGGAGATATATCTTTGTCTCATGTTAGCACTTCCGATTCACAGAATTTGTTAGAGCACTCGATTCCCGAGACACACTTACATTGGTTGACAAGTTGCTAGTGTTCCATGCATGGGCTATGTGCACATTTGTGACAAGTGCTGTTTTGCGGCTTCTTGCACATGTTGGGTGCAGGCCAGCATGTCTTAAAGTGCCTGAGCTGAATTGACAAACTTCAAGAGGTCCAGATGCGACTGGTCAATCTTTCAATATGTTCTTCGGTTTCAGATGTGCTGCTTTGCGGCTGTTGTTGCCCCACAAGGCTGATTCAAACTCCCAGTTTTCAGGGACATTGCCACCATCGCAATATGATCGGACAGCGCCGCAACACCACAGTTTTGGACGGCCAGATTCAGCTGCTGTTTGCGCTAGTTGGCTGTGAAGTTTCTCAGCAAAGCCACATCGGTGAAGTGCAAGCGTTCGCTGAAGTGGGAAAAGCCTTCGGCTCCAGATGCAGCAAGCGCCATGTTTGTGGAACTGTGACGGACCCCTGCAACCAGGCTGGTTGCTCGACTTAAGGGCGCAGATTGTGACGCATTTCAAGTTGCAAGAAGGCTGTTTGCACAGTTGCCTCAGCACTTCTCAAGGTAGCAACTACTGTTAGCATCGGATCTGCATAAGTTCCTCCGTGCACATCCCTTCCTTGTCCACCCAAACCAAATCCAATTCGGCTTCACTTTACTTCTTCCTCAGTGAATGAACGCCAGAGCAAGAGCAGGGTGGTCGCGTGTCCAAGGAGAGAGAGAGAGAGAGAGAGAGAGAGAGAGAGAGCGAGAGAGAACCGAGAGAATCTTTCATCCTTTACGGCACCAGACCCTTTCTCTACAGCGTGCGTTTTGGACCTTTGCTTGCCATGCAAGCCTCCAGCCAAGTTGGATGTTCCTGCTTCCATCTGCAGATATGTTTTGCAAACCCTTGCCAGAGCTGCAGCTGTGCGGTTGGTAAGCTCACCGGGCTCGCATGCCTAAGCTTTCTTCAGCTCCTTGCTCACCGGGGGTTAAGTATGCAACCCGAAGGTACGAGCGAGGGTCACCGACAATATTTCGATCCATCAGGCTTCTGCGATCAGTGTTTCAGGTTTTAGGATACGATTGGCAGACTGCCTTGTTCTCGGCCGATACGTGTTAGCACGTGGCCACGTTGAAATGCAGTGAGTGTGTCACTCGCCTCTAAGCAGGGGTTGGCAGGTTGAACAAAACAGATGCGGCATTGTTGGCCTGGTATCTTGGTTTCAAGATTTGTGTTGGTGAAGAGAGGGCGGTTCTTGTGATTTCACATTTATTCCAATACTAGCTCCCAGAAATTCAAGTGTACCTGGTCGCGGCTCATTTGCAACCATGATTTACTACATTTCCAACATTAGTGTATTGGCATGACCGCTTCCTTGTTTATTGTGGGCATTTGTTGAGCAATGCAGCATGTTAGATGGCATTGGAGGCTGGGTGAGGATAGCCAAGTTGTTGAAGTGTTGCTTCAAAGCAAACAGCTTACATGAAGGGCAATGCACATGTCCAACATGTTGCATACATAAAGCAAGGGTCAACGATGGAACTGTCAATAGTCCAACTCAGGGCCTCGTCACGAATGTTTTAGGTGTCCGTCATCCCATTGGCGCACTGCGTTGGTCTTCCATCATTCCGACCTAAAAATATTGTTGACTTGGATTAATCCGGAATTGCTAATTAGGGTTGGTAGGGAAATGAGCTACGTTTGGGGGTTCCTCTGACTAGTAGGGTCCTCCAAAGCAATCCGAAGTCAACATGTTCCTTGTGCTGAGTTTGGTCACCTTGACCAGGAACCCTACTTGGGGGGTGTCTGACTCCGATTCGATCCTGACCTCAAAACGGAGCTTCGCCATTGCTCGAATCGTGCCAAGGTCTTTCGTAAATGCCAGCTTCAACGTCCGTTTCTTGATGCTTCTGCCAGCGATGTTGCCATGGAAAGAGGCGCGAAGCTGTCATGGGAAATCGAATTTGATCAAGGCGGCACTTTAGCCAACTAGGTGTGCGTGCCACAGGGTCCAAGTGCTTCATGATGATAGCCGTGTCATTATTCTGTAGAGGCACGTTCTCAAAGTGATCAGCCGCCGAGCCGCGATACTGCTTTCTCCGCCGTCTTTCTTTCAGCCAAGGGTTTGTACTTCCTGGGGAGACTTACACCCGGTTGCCCAGCACTGTCTTTTATATACGTGTTTTGGGATAGACTCACTCTTGCACCTTCATGGAAATGCTGCACCACCCCTTTTGGAGGACATCTTGCCTTTTTGAAAGGGATTCTGTGCGTTGGTTGGTGGGAGAGTACCTGCTAATTCAATCAATGAGTTGTCTGCATCATGGTCTGAATTTCATCCGTCCTTATTAGGCGCCAGATTCAAGTGACCATGAACGAACCTGCTGATTAGAGACTTATCTAAAGCCAAATCTGAGCCCATTTTGATGTACGGCTTGATTGTTTTGAACAATACCCGCAATAAGGTTCTTGCCTCGATATTCACTTGGGCGTAAATCTTCACAGGACAGGGAACCTACCCGAAGTTCGGCAAATGTTGGCGAAGGAATCCATTGCCTTATCCTTTGCTTCACGGAATGAGTTCCTAAAAAAAAAACCTAAAAACAAAAACACTTGCCAGCATGGCGGCTATAAGGATACATGTCAGGGATGAGGATAGGGGCTTTCTCAAGGGCAAGCGTCTTGATGTCCCAGTTGGTCTGGGATAGCGTGACCACGCGCATGTCCCCGAGTTTTCTTTCCACCCTTGAGGGGAGGTCTGGAGGCCCAGGACTGGATCAGGATACGTCCATTCCTAGCTTCCTCTAGCCTCAAGCCACAGGGTCAGGGTCTTGACGGCTTAGTAGTTGTTTTTTTCTGGCGCAAAAACATGGGGGGGTCGCGGGGGTTTCCATCGAGATTTCCGCGCTCCTGACGTTTGCCAATCTTTGACTAGGTCCCCCAGTAGGGCCCGTTTACTGTTTTTTTTTGGGGAAGATTCGGTTCCCCTCCTAAAATAGACCGGAAAAAAGTCGGGTACCAACTTCTTCTAACCTCTCTACTGGAGGACCTCGTTGATGTTGGACCCCTCAAACACCGAGCGTCAGGCGTGGTCACGCGAGGCCTCACCGGATCGCCGGATCGCCGCGCGCGTTGCGTTGCGCAGGCCCTGTACTTCAGCATCTTCTCCTCCAAGCTTGAGCGGGCAGAGCCTTGCTTCGAAAAAAGAAAAGCCACCGGGGCAGTTGCTTTGGAGAGTCCCACATTGGTTTATTGCATTTTTTCTATTGCATTTTGTCTATTGCATTTTGTTTATTGCATTTGTTTTATTGCATTGCTTTATTGCATTGCTTTATTGCATTGTTTTGTTGCATAGTTTTAGTGCATACCACATTCTAGGTGTGGATCATGGGGTGGGGGGGACCATAAGTATATATATATGTGTGTGTGGGCCAATATTAAATCACCAGGATATGGACCGCAGATTAAATCGTCCATGTTTCCATTTACCAGGGTTCCACTGTGGGTACCTATTTTTGACCCACAGCCATATCAAGAGTTGGTCCACTCGAAGAAAGGACCGTGGCAAATGCCGTTTAGAGATGTTAGAGAGTGAGGCGGTTACAGACATGACGCGCATGCAGCATTTAAGATCTTTCTGAGTGACATGTTGTGTTGACTCAAAGCCTCGCAGCATCTAAGGGCTGATGGTGATGGAATTCTATTCCACCAAGTTTGAAGGTTGGCACAGTAGTTCAGCAGCCCCAATGTGTGCATCCCGACAAGGCCTCACCATCAACAAAAACCTGGCAAAGTGAAGATTACGGTGGCTTCCATTTGCTGAAATTTTGTCGTTTTCCCCCTGTTGGTTTTAAAGGGAATCTATCTCCACAGGACATATTTTTATTTTGTCCAGGGTGCTTAAGCAAATCGAAGGTGTGGGGCAGACGCGAGCATTGCTATTCAGAAATCGAAGCGACCTGCTGCGCGATCAGTTACTTGCTGGTGTTTGGTGGTGACTCGACTGCGCCCTGTGCTGGACGAGGTGCTACTTGAATGTCGGGAGAAGCGCAATTCCTAGCTGGCCCACAGAATTTTGAATCCTTCCCGCAACGGACGCTTTATTTGATGCAAAACGGAAGTTCTGGAAGACTTGTGTCTCCTTTGGCATTATATATATACAACCATGCAGGAGGGTTCCTTGAAACCGGACACTTTTTCTGAAGGCAGGCCATGGTCCAAATGCCGGTTGTCATGTCAATATGCCCATATGCCCGTTGCATTTGTATGGCAAGACTTGACATTCAGGATCACCCCAGTAGACAGCCCCCGCATCCTTTGTAACTTGTTGCTCTTTGGGCGCCCTTTTGGATGACAAAAACCCACAAAAAGCGTCGTGGAGTTCTCCTGGCAGGCTTTCTGGGACGAAACCACATCTAGGTGGGGGGGGGAGGTTGCCCTACTAAAATAGACTACAGAAAAAAAGGTACCCTCATTCTAACTTCTCTACTGGAGGACCTAGACATATATATATATATATATATTATCTATGTTGCCACCTTGGCTTGAGGCTTTTTGCTCGCGTCTCAACCATCCTGCTGCTCTTTGACCCCCTGGACAGCCCCAATCAAACCGGTGAGAATCGGAGTGCAACCAGTTTTGACTCGGAGGCCAATTTGGTAAGGGGGGCTCACTTTACTTGGATGACCCTGCATAGCGTGTGCTTAATACTCCTCAACAAGTCCCCCAAGTAGGAATTACCCAACATATCCCAACACACAACCCAATCCATGAGGCCCATCACTTTGAATCAGGTAGGCCGTTCTTGGGTCCCAAGGTCCCGAAAGTGGAATGGTACCTCCATGCAAAAAAAGAGACTCTTCACCTGATGAGCATCTTGGGGCTGATAAATCAGGGTTATCAACCGACCAAGTGTGGTCATCCACTTCGGTCGGCTTAGGCGCGGCTGCTGCTGCGGCTGTTGCTCTCCTTGGCTTCCGCGGCCCTGTTGCGGGGCTTTGGCCTGGGCCTGGAAAACAAGGAGCTTAACGTGTGGAGCACCCCTCAATCAAGGCATACCGTGGTTGCGAAATGACTTTCGCACCGCTTTGAAACCATGGTTGAATCCATAACGTTTGTTGGTATTTACAAGCGAATCATCATTCCAGGTCTTCTTAGGTGGTGCAAAATGGATTTCGTCCATCCACAGTGGGACCATGCGAGGTAATGACTGCACAGTATCCAGCCAGGCGTCATGATTTCCGGTTCGGAGTGGGAATACATGTGGGGGTTCTTGAAACAGCATGGGGAGTCCGCAAGGTGGTTGTCACTTCGACCTCCCTGCAAATCCATTGCAAAACGGATACCCCGGTACCCTTCAAAAAGAGACACGCAACGTCGACACTTCGTGAACATGTCCAGCACTCTATGGCCAAATTGGGGTTTGGGACTTGGCCCATGGCTTTTCCTAGAGGGAAGCCGACGATTTTGTTTTGTTTAGGCTCATACACGTTCAACATGCTTACCATCTTTCCTCATTGAGCATCGGCAAATCTCGGCACGTGTGGCTGTAGTGCTCCGTTTGGTCTTGGCACGCATGTACCAGACATGTGGTGCACTATCAGTTGTTTGACTCGGAGAGATGAATTTCATCGGCAAGGAGTCAGAGGGGTGTGTGTGTATGGGCGTCTCGGTGTGTGTGTGTGTGTGGATATTGTTGTGTTGCTTTTGTTTTTTTGTTTTGGGGGGAGGAAGAACTCATCTTGCAATGCAGAAACCAGCATGTTCTCTTACTGTTCTTGTGGCGGCCTGGAAATGTGTTTTGTTCACGTGTTGTTTCATCATGTGGCAAAGCGGCCGAATGGCCGTTTGGCTCAAGTTTAACCTCCCGTCAGGTTAGTTTTGGTAGCACGGCACTCGCCATAGCACGGCATCTCGCTGCGTCGCCGAGAAAGGACTCTCGGCGCTGGGGTGGGCTGGTGCTAGGAGGTAGGTGGTGCTGCGGCAGGACTTGCCTGGGCCTGGTTAAGGTGATCTTTTGCAACTTGCTGTTTAACCTTCACTTCAACCACCTCTTCTTCAATCATCACGTCCTTCAACCTGGTCACCGGCTTCAGTCCACTGAGTCGTGAGTCCGGGTTCTTTGGGTTCTTCGTGGATTACGTGAACCCTTTTGATTCCCTGGGCAACGCCCTTTCCGCCCAAAACCGCAGGTTATCAGCCGTAACAGCTAGAAGCTGGGGCTGGTGATCCGGTTGCGGGACGTGACCCGCTACCTGCTCCCATCGCCTACTTGTACGAGCAATGGCGTCCCCCGGAGCTTCTCATCGTGGGCCGGGCTTCGTGGACGACGAGGCCAACGCCCTTCGCGGCAATGCCGCGCCTGCTGCTTCCGGCTTAGACAGCCGGCTGTGGCCCATTCCCCCGATGGTGGGCGCAGAGCCCAATCCCGGGGTGATCACGGACGATTGGATCCTTTCTCAGGTTGTGTTTGATGAGGATGCGGAGGCCCCTATCCCGGCGGCAGTGCTCCAGATCGAGGACGGACCCCCTCTAGAAGAGGCTGAGGTTCCTCCAAATCAGGTGCCCTCATCGATTTCGCCTACTGTTCCGTTCGTGGCGCTCCAGATCGAGGACCGGGCTATCCATCATGCTGCTCATCCGGAGCCGGCTCAATCATGGTCCCTTACATGGGATCAGTTTGACCAACTCCTCGGCAGTGGATCGCAGGCTAAACCGCCTGATTTCGGTCGGCTCGACTTTAACTCGGGTGCCCCCGTTTCGGTTGGGAATCTGGATTTTCAATCCCTTTGTGATGCTGATTGGAGGTCTCAGCCTTCCCGAATTGACAGATCCTTTGATGTTTTGCCGTCGCATGAGCCCACTCAGGGTTTTCCTCATGATGGAGAGAATGACCCCATTGAAGATTTCTCCCCTTCTCATGTTGCAGGTTCGGCCCAACCCGAGGTGGGCAAACGGGCGATTGAGGATTGGCCGCAAATAGCTGGCCCTCCTCCCGTCTCAGGTTCATCCGACATTGACATCATTCACGATCACCCCAGTCCGGCGGATATGGACTTCATCCCTGATGCAGTATCATCTCACCTGTCAGGTACCCGTGACCGGAATGCGGACCGCTACAACGCTGGTCCGAATCCACCGCTTTCCTCAGGTACCCGAGGTCGGGATGCGAACCGCTACAACGCGGGCTCAAATCCGCCAAATCGGACATCAGGTACTAATCGATCGGATGTGGGCCGCGAAACAGCAGGCCCAAATCCTTCCTCCTCTTCGTCAAGAAGCCATGCCGGTCTCTTCGCGGCGTTCAATCGGCGTCAGACTCGAAAAGAGTCCGCCCCCGACGTCATCGACCTCGAGGAGCAGTCCAGCCACCGTACCAGCGATGGATCCGAGCAGGATACACCTGGCATTGGCTCCACTCCATTTGACCTCCTCGACATCCCCTTCCATCAGCCACCCAGGAGAGGAAATGAAGATGATGAAACCATTCCTGGGATCCTTGATGTAATCGATGAGGCCGAGGTCACACCAGAGAGACGAACTACATCGCTCCCGCCGAGCCGCGTTGCCAAAGTACTTTCCCCTAAGCCACTCAATGGTGACGTTGCTCAACGGCTTGATCTTACTCAGCCTAATCCAGATCAAGCTCAACTTCGCGGATCATCATCATTTGATAATGTGTCGGGACAAACCGGCACTGACTCACGAGCCACAAAGAGGAGCTCTGAGTCACCCGAGAGACGTGAAGCTGCTCTCCGACTGCGATCTAATCCCCCAGCTCATCACGACCCTATTGACGTTCCTATCCACTCTGCGGGGTCTGGGCTCAGCTCCAATGCCCCGATGTCCGAGAAGGAGACTGATGACGGGATTAACTCTACGCCTAGGAACCGGAGGCCTGGACTTAGCGCCGTTGCCCCTGGATATGGAGGGCTTCCTTCGAATCAACCGGTTAACGACTCCCTCGTTCCCGCATTCTTTCAAATCGGAACTCCTGGCTGCACTCCTGACAGGGAAGAAAATAGTCGCGGAGATCATGACGCTGATAGCCGTCCTGCTCCGTCTGCCTCCACAAGTGGCGGCCATCCTGTTGCATCTGAGCTTCAACGACTGCTTCTCGCGATCCACAACGAGGTCAAGGGGTGCAAGGCCGAAATCCAGGGGTGCAGAACTGAGATTCGTTCATGTAGGGATGATATCAACGCTTGCGTCGGTGAGATCAAGAAGATCAATAACCGTGTTGACGCCTTCGAGAAGAAGGTTGAATCATCTTTCTCTGCCGTTGCTGGAACTCTCTCAAAACACGAGGCTAGGTTCCGTGATTTCCACGAGTGGGTCGCCCGAAGCGAGAAGGAGACGAATGAGCGTTTCAAGATGTATGATGAGAGATCTGACTCGATCGTCACATCTGCTGCTGGACTTCGCGAGCAGGCCGAATCACTTGAGAACGTCAAGGTCCAGCTCCTTAGGTTCTCTGAGATCGGAGCTCTTGAGGCTGAAGTTCGGAAAATCAAAGACGAAGTTGAGGCGAACTCTCGCAGTGTCATCGACATTGAGGGAACCATATCAAGGGAAAGAACCATCCGTGGGAACGTCGAGACGTATATTCAGCATCTCGTTCCTGCGACCGACCTGAAGCAGTTCAGTGATAGGGTGTCCGGAGCCCTCAATGAGAACTCACAGAAACAGGAGGAGTTCAAGCTTCAATTGTCCCGTGTTGCTAGGTGCGTCAAGGACCTTCATGACAAAAGCTTAGGGCCCAATCCGAGGAACATGCAAGAGCAGTTTATGAAGCTTGTGCTGAGGGTCAATGAGATCAACATGCAGATCGCTGAGATAAGGGAACAACCTCCCGCTGCCTACGGATCTTCAAATGCTGGCGCTGCTTCGACCGCCGGGACGGGATCATGGGAAAAATCTGGAGACACTAATCCCTTAACCCAGGGAAGGACTCCTAGAGGTTCTCCTCCTCGTGATGTTCGCACCGTCAGCTCGACGAGATCTCCTCCGCCTCCACCTCCTTCGGGGCCACCCCCACCGTCACCATCAGCCCCCATCTTCGGCAGGGATCCCTCTAGAACGAGGGCCATTGCTCGGGCTGCCGGCGCTGCCCCTGATAACCGGGCCAGGTGTGCTCATGAAGAGGCCGGGCATCCACAGCATCGGGAACCTCGCTATCCATGCCGAAGTTGCGGCAAGTCAGTCTGCGAGGACTGCTTTGACCATGATTGTAACTCGTGTTTCAAGTGCAGCGATCAGTTTCCTAGATGCCGCGCATGCAGAGGAAGAGGGGGGAGACACGGACTTGTGAGGTGTCTCATATGCAAGGACGAGTACTGCGATCAACACATCGCTTCGCCTGACGATGTGCGTCGTTTTGGGTCGAGTGTTCGACCTATCTGCCTCGGTTGTCTGAGAGCTGATCCCGACGGGAAAACTAACATCGCGGCCCCAGTGCGGGGCCTGGAGGACCTGATTGCATTCCTGATCAAAATCAGCGGGATGGCACTGCTCCTGATCCTGGATCCGGGCCATCACGTGGAGATCCGTCACATCGGAGTCCTGAACCGCACCAAGGAAATTCTGGTTTTTGTTCCCACGCCGGAGCTGCCGGGCCAATGCCACCAAGGGCAATGTCTTCGCCCGTAGTCGGACGAGCAGTTCCGAGGGGGACCATCAACACGTACCCCGGATGTTCCCCTACAGGGGGGATTTTCACCGGTCAGGTTGAGCATGGAACGTCTCAGGGAGTCATTCGCGGGAGATACGGACCTGACGCTGCTGTGACAAATCAGCAGAATCCACAGCCTCACCACGGAGCACAGGATAACTCTGGCGGGCCAACTGGTTTTTCTCTTCCACCAGGACTCGGTAAGGGTGTGCATGGCGTTGGTGGCGTCGGCGGTATTGGAGCTCCCGATATTCGCCGATCTTCCGCTGAGGAGAGAGTCTGCCCTCGGTGCAACATAAATGTCAAGACCAGCATCCCCGGGACGCCTCCATGTTTCCAAACTTGTTCGTTG